TTGACTTACAAATCCACCCTCCTGTCTACCGTGTTCCTCCAGTAAATCTCCAGGGGTCGACGAAGGTCTGTAGGGTTATGGGACTCCATGTACATTGATGACCGCAAACAGGAATGCTTGTAGTTGCCTATAGTCGGCTCATCTAGTGTCCGCTAGTATTCCACAAATGGAACGTGCTGGGTGCAGATGGGAGGGCAACCACTCGGCCGGGATGATTAGTAAACAACCAGTCTTTGAATATTTGTCTCGTCTTGAATCGGCTAATTCGTTTTTCCAGAGCCTCCTTTCTGAGAAAGCGGTCGCCCCAACGGAACAGATTACAATATACAAATGTTAGAGTATGAAGATGGCATAGGCCGTTGGATTGAGTCATCTCATGGACGGAGATCCAGTTCGTCCGAGAGAATTCCACGCGCGAAATTTGATGTCGCGAAGAAACTCAAAGAACGTAGGCGGACCTTACAAACCGGCCTTTCTTTTTTCAAAGCCTGCCCACGCGTGTTCCTAATCTACTCGGGTATTTCAAACTCCAAGGCTCTAGAGTTTTCATCAGTCTATTTGGTTATCTCTGCGTTCTGCCTTCCTTTCGAGTGTTCTTGTCCTCCATGCCTCAATCTCACGCTTTTCTGGACAACCGAACACCCCTATCAAGACAATAGAAATTGAAAAAAAGGTCCGACACTTATCTATCCACCGGATCTGTTCGACTCTTCAAAATGAAGGCTTTGGTGTCAAATCGTAGCACCCCCGCAAGAATCTTCAACCTTACCTCGGGAAAGTCCATCTTTAAGGGAGCCCACGTAACCGACGTACCAAAGCCTGTCATCACTGGCCAAGAGATACTGGTCAAGGTGCATTCTGTGGCTCTCAACCCGAGCGACTACAAGCATATTGACGTCATCTCCCCCAAGAACTGCATCGTTGGATGCGACTACGCAGGAGAGGTGATTGAAGTTGGCAAGTCCGCCGTAGAGTCATGGAAGGTGGGAGATCGTGTAGCGGGCGTTGTTCATGGCGGCTTGCATCACGACAGGGGCGCGTTCGCAGAATACCTCAAGGCCGAAGCAGATCTGGCGTGGAAGATTCCCCAAGGCATCTCGGACGAGGCTGCAGCAACCTACGGTGTCTCAGCCGTCACTGCCGTGTTGGCGATGAATGTGCATCTTGAACTTCCGTGGCCTGATGAGCCAAAGCAAAAGCTCGAAGCATCTACACCGCGACGGACCGTTTTCATCTACGCAGGTTCAACAAGCGTCGGCCTCTTTGCCATCCAGCTCGCCAAGTTAGCAGGCTGCACCGTGGTCACAACAGCGTCTCCACATTCTAATGATCTCGTCAAGAGCTATGGAGCCGACCACGTTTTCAACTACAGATCGGAGAATTGGGTACAGGAAGTCGTATCGGCTTTCCCAGACATCAGCCTGGCTCTGGACTGTATCTCAGAAAAGGGCACTGGTCCTCTGACGGCCAAAGTACTGCAGGCCAAGGGTGGCAAGGTTGTCACGCTGCTTGATCAAGGAGAGTCAAAGGTTCCAGGTGTCAAGTATGACATGATCATGCTTTATACGGTCTTTGGCAAAGAGTTTGCCTGGCTGCCGCCAATCGGACCCAAGTTCCCGGTCGATTTAGAACATCGACAGGCTCTCGCGCGGTTCTACGCAATACTTCCAAGGCTCACTGAGGTTTTAAGACCTCCCCCTATCAAACAGATTAGTGGTGGTATCGATATCTTGCTGGAGGAGTTAGACCAGTTGCGCAAGGGGAAGGTATCCGGGAAGAAGTTGGTCGTTAGGTTTTAGTGGAAGAATAAATTAATTAATCAGAGTGGCAATATTACCTAGAGCCGAGGGTGTGATTTACCAATGCATGCCAGGGTGTAGTGATGGAACTACCTTAGCTAGGTGATCAATGATGTATTGACCGGCATTCCACTCTGCCCCCTCACTCGATACGTTACGTTCACATCAGTCCTGGCTCCCTCCTGATATCCTAAGCTCCGAAGACTCTCGTTATTCATGTCAATCATAACCCGACTGATACAAGTTCTTGCAGAAATCTCGGCACCTCGTGTTCGATCAGTTCCCAGGACCAAGACGTGAAACAATCATGGGGAGCAGTAATCGATCAACATCGAAGTCTTCCCCAGTTGATTTCCCTCGCTTTCTCAAAGCCGGAGCCACAACAAGGCGGACTGGTTGATCTCGTCTCCCCGCCTCATCGTCTCCTTCCCATTCCATTTGCTCGGGATCAAAGATCATCGGTGTCTCGTAAGTGATCCAATCCACACGCGCAACTTGTCTATAGATTTCCTTATCGAGAGCTAGAGCCTCATGCAGAATCCTCTCAATCTCTAAACCCAACTCATCATTCTCAATGATGATGAGGGAAGCGACTGCATCCACTATACCGGATGCTGTATCTCGTACCGTGTTTTCAATGAACCGCCTGACTGCGGATTCTTTCTTCGCGTCGATGGTGTGCAGGATCATACTTGTCGTCTGTGTACTCCACATTTGGAAGCTCCGACAGGACTCGACGTCAAAACTGGCAATTGGACATCTCTCTTGGTTGCAATTCATTTCAGTAAAGTGTCTCAACGTGAGAATGGGACGGATTCTATACTCCTACCTTGTCTCATGTGGTTATTCAAGACTTGAATGGCCCCAGATAGTTCGGATCCTGTCCAAAGGTATCGACCGAATATCTCTGCGGTGAGAATTTCCCACAGATATGCTTGCATAACGCTCGAGCGTCTGTTTCCAGACTTTAGTAGGGCGTTTTGTACTGTTGTATCATGAACAACAGGGCCGAAGTAATGCAAGAATCTGGATCCTCTGGGTTCGTGGTCTGAATCCCGGGGTCTCATCTTGCCCTCAAAATGCCGGATCGCAAGGTCTCGAATATTGTATCGTAGTCTGGTGGCCAGTTCCACCAGGTGCCGATCTGTCACTTCATAAAGTCCTCCTTTTTGTGACATCTTCAGCCTGTTTAGCTCCTTGGCTGTCTGCTTCCAGCGTTTACGCATATCAGCGAGATCGGCATCTTTTCGCTGCAGCTCGACTTTCAAAGACTGTAGTGTGACCTCCTTCTCATCTAATCCATCCTTAATTCCTTCAAGTTCACTTCTTTTAGGGGTTGGCCTCTGATCCCATATGTGACCCAAGCTATTCAGGTCTAGTTCGGCCGAGGATTCCGATTGCCGAATTGAATTGGTATCAATTGTGGACTGCAGAAGTTCAATTTTTAGGTTAGCAAGATCCATCAGTTCCAAGCTTGTTACTTTCTTCTGTTCATTGTAATATAGAACAGCACGTAGTATTTACAGATCTTGATGACTTTCCGCTCCTCCATGTCAACGAAGGACTTCCGGCTGCCTCCGTGTCGAAGTAATTTTGCTCCTGAAAGTTGTCGTGGCGGGGAAGCTCCCTCTTTGAAGTCGATCGTTCACCATCTCGTGGCCATGTTCGACGAGCTTGCGGTCGGCTAGATGAGTTGTAGACATTCGAACTCTTTTCTGTCATGATGAAAAGGCTGGGACAAATATGTGAAAGGTCCCGTTGACTTGAGAATGGACTCAGCAGTGTTGAGAAAGAAGAAGATTGGGTATGATCTCGTCCTTGTAGCTTTTAAGAAGCATGGGTGTCAGTTTGTTTCGCCAAAGGTAATGGCAGCTAATGGGTCATGAAGGAGCTTCAGCTCGGCGCAAATTCGGATACGCTGGCTCTCCTTAAACCAACGGCGGAGGATCATCATTCTGCGGGGGCCAAACAAACCAAGTTAGCCCTGGAATTTTATTGGTAATCCCGGTCAGTTGGCTTGGTGAGCCTCGCCTACTAGTATGAACATTCTCAATTCTTTAGATGAAGTTGGTGTGGCACCCCTTGCGTGCATTACGAGGCAAAAACAGTTCGGTGGACGGCCGTTGGACCGAGCACAGTCACACAAAAAGCCTCCAAGTCCGAGTAGGCTTCCTCTTTCATTGTACTCTCGGCGTTCTGATTGATCAGTTACGAGTCGCCAAGCACCAAATGACCTGGCTGCAGGTCAGCTCCTATTCACCGAACTTTTTTTGTGGTGTGATGCAGCAGGCTCAACGGCGTCTAGGCTTGTCGTGTCAGCAAACGGCGCCGTTGATTCCGTCGCCTGACGAATTTGATCCTACAGCACGGGATGGAAGAAACTCGTTGAGTGTGCCAGGGTTTTCCATACTCAAGAATGCTGCATGAGACTGCGTCTCAAACCTCAGATCTGTGAAATTGACAACTTGAACGCAAGGGAGGTGTGCATCAGAAAATTTGCAGCTGAAGTTTGCCGGAACAGTCGTTTCCAGCCAGGTTAGAACTTTTTGAGGCGAACAGGAACTGTTATCGGTACAGACTCGTGCCGAAGCGCCGAGAAGGGGAAAATGCAGGGTTCATGACATGTCGATTCAGGTGAGAGTCTGTTCAAGAACCAACACGTACAGCCTGGCAGCCTTCTGCCTGCATCGGTGATGTTTCCAGGATCCAAACAACGCACAGCAATTGGAGAACACCGATCACTTCCAGCAGTAAAATGGGCGTAGCTACAGTACAATTGATATATGTAATTGTCCAAAACAGCATCTGCCAAAGAAACCTATGGGGAATCCAACTATCCAGATAAACCATGCCTTGAATTTCGATCATTTAGTAACAGCTTTCGCGGCGGAGCTAGTTTTGTTTCATTGTGGTACTTGTGGAAAAGATCAGGACGGTGGTCAGCCTGAAATGCAGGCGCCCGCCCCCAAAGAAAATCTTTAGCATAGCCTGCCTTGACAGACACATCTATCTTCTGAGCACTCGCCTGCAGGCCGCCAACATACGTTGAATATTCCTCTCTGTCGACCATAAAAGGCAGCAAAGTTTCCACAATGACCAGCCTCAAATGTAAATCATTGGACACCGATCTGCATCTAGGCCTTCTACTTACTACTCTTGACGTGCTCCATATAGTTCATCAACAAAGCATTATATCTAGTCATGCGACCCGCGCACAATATCCAAGTGCAGGTTAGTCTTCAACGCAATACTCCTTCCAACGAAACATAATCTCACAGTGGGCAGAGGAGGGTATCAAATGGTGAGGAAGATGATGACTTACTTGTCATTGGAATTGACTTTGGGACGACGTATGTAAACTTAGTCTCCCTTTCTCCTCAGAATTTGGACTTGAGAACATTCTTTTTAACGAAGTGATTCTTACTCAGTTACTCTGGGGTAGCTTGGGCTACGACTGAAGAATTCGAAAACGACCACATCAACATCATCACCACCTGGCCTGGTAAGGGTCCTGAAGAAGGCAAAGCCCCAACAGAGCTTTACTACGAAGACGAAACGATGATGTGGGGATATGATATACCTGATGATGCAGACCCAATCCGCTGGTTCAAACTACTCCTCCTCAAAGACGAAGATCTTGGCCCTGAACTTTGCGCATCTGAATTCATCTTGCGAGGCAAGAGAATGTTGAGAGACTCTGGGAAGACTGCCATTGCGCTTGTGGCGGATTTTCTGCGGGCACTCTTCAATCACACGATGTATACCATTACTAAGGCGAGAGGGAAAGAAGTCGTCGACGCCATGAGACTGCACATAGTCATCACAGTACCTGCCATCTGGAAGGGTTATGCGAGGCAGGCAATGGAGACAGCCGCGGAGCAGGCAGGAATTCTCTATTCACGGGCGGCAGGAGAAACTAAATTAACTCTGGCACCTGAGCCCGAAGCCGCGGCTTTGTCAACTTTGAGCGAGCCAGGCCGAAAGGTGGGCAAGAACGATGTGTACATCATTTGCGATGCTGGTGGTGGTACAGTGGTAAGTGTAAACTCTCCTCGATGTTTCGAATATTGGCCCCGTCTATGTTTGATATATCTGATTATCATTAGGATCTCATCAGCTACCAAATCGATCAGACCAAACCCATATCGATGCAAGAAGCAGTGGAAGGAACAGGTAACACCATTCATATAACTGAGATTGGTCGGCTTAGAATAAAAGCTGACAACGCCTACTTACTAGGTAGCCTTTGTGGTGGTATCTTCATTGACGAAGCCTTTGAGAGAGCATGCAAAGCTCGCTTGGGCTCAAGATGGAACCATCTGAGTGACACTGGGAAGAAGAGAATCATGAAAAATGAGTGGGAGGCACTCATCAAACCAACTTTCGTACCCAATCTTACCCATCGAGAATACATTGTTGAAATACCAGCCGAAGCTTTCAGCGAGTCCAATCTCAACGACTTCTGCAAGGAGCCAATCATCAAGAATGGAAGGATTCATTTCAAGGAGTAAGTAAATCAAACCTTGAATAACGTCTTTATCAATTAGCTGAGTGTAGAAATAGAACCCACATCCAAAGAGCCTTCATAGACTCTTTTGAAGGGATTGATGAGCTGGTTGCGAGGCAGATCAGAATGGCGACGAGGTCTGGCTTGACAATTACCGTAAGCCGAAAACAAGATATCAATCGTAAAATGTTTGAATCACTGACCTGTGCTTCCCTACGTAGGGAATCATTCTTGTCGGAGGATTAGGCGCCAGTCCATACCTGTATGACCATCTCAAGGAGCAGCATGGGATGAAAGTCCTGCAGTCGGGGGGTATACAGCCGTAAGTGACTATTCATTACTTCATATGTAGTATTTAAAGAGCGTACCAATCAAGGCTGATATCGTGCATAGAAGAACCGCAATCTGCAGAGGCGCAGTCCATAAGGGATTTCTTGATGGCTACCGAGCTGAAGATCAAACCCTTATTAAACGTCCTGATTACAGAACTAAGGTGCCTACTATCCAGGTGACCTCGACAGTATCAAGATCAAGCTACGGAGTTACTTACCGAGCGGAGTTTGATCGGGAGAAGCACCTTCAAGAAGACAAAGAGTACGATGTCTACTTGGGGGTCTGGAGAGCCAAGAATCAAATGCACTGGTACCTGAGAAAAGTAAATCTCCCGCATATATCACCCTGGCGGAACACCAAATTCACACTTTAAACTTCTTTATAGGGCGAAATTGTTTCTCAGAAGGAACCAGTACGATTCACCTATTATGAGATTTATAAAGAAGACGTCGGAGGTCATTTTTCTGTTGGCATCTGCGAATGCGATGCGGCGGAAGTGCCAGATCGGCGCACATTTCAGGTCAATGACTTTTGCTACATTGATTGCAAACTCGACGCTCCGTTTTCCAGTTTGCCTGACATCATGACTATTGATGGTACGATGGCTAAGAAGATGACTTATGTGGTAGAGATGATACCATCGGGGGCATCTGTGGAGTTTACTGTCTATATCGATGGTAGGAAACAGGGTAGTCACAACGCCTGCGTCAGATTTGAGTGATACCTGTCGTTTCCATAATGTAGAGTCCTCTGCTTAGATATTTCTCAGTTCCAGAAGCTTCGCATGTAAGATAGTCCTCATAATGCGCACACATTACTATTATTGAAAGTTCATTTGATTCATCATCATGCAAAGTAGTACCCGTAAAACGCCCCATACGCCTACCCATCAACTGATTACAACCTCGACTTCATAATGATCCGCTTTGGTGATGGGATGGCCGTCTGCTCACTCACTTGTGCCTTACAGAGCGGTTCCGTCGTCACAGTTGCCTCAATCCTCCTTCCAAAATACTCAATCTCCACGACGTCGCCCTCTTCCACACTGCTTGGCAGATACGTATAGGCAATGGGCTTCCCGATTGTGTAGCCAAACGCGGCATTCGTGACGTACCCGACTGCTTTCCCATCGAGTAACACGGGCTCCTTACCAAGAACAACGGAGCTCCCGTCATTGATTGTAAGACAACGGAGTTGCTTGTTGACCTTGATTTTTGCAAGGCGCTTGATGGCGTCATGACCGACGTACCCTTCCTTGCCGAAGTCGACGGCAAAATCAAGACCGGCTTCAAAGGGAGTGTGCTCGGTGGTCACATCGACACCGTACGTCCTAAATCCAGTTTCCAGGCGCAGGGCACTAAAGGCGCTGCGACCTGCGGCGATGACTCCATGGGGCTGACCAGCCTTCCAAAGAGTATCCCACAGACGCAGGCCGTTTTCTGCACTGGTGTAAATCTCCCAGCCGGGTTCACCAACAAACGATAGGCTCACGACAGTAACCGGGAGACCAGCAATGATGGCTGTCTTAACCTGCGAGTGAGGCATGTCTTTGAGGTTGTCTGAGCTGATACCAGTGATGATGTCGGCGGCGCGGGGTCCCCAGAGACCAATGCCACTCGTACCTCCGGTGGTTTCGCGGACATGAACGAACTGGGCCGGCGACGCCTTGACTTGGAGACGAGCCTCTCGTTCCAAGTAAGCAAGGTCAACGGGGCCATTGACTGCAAGCTGGAATGTGTCTTCGCGAAGCCTGGCAACAAAGATGTCGCTGAGAACACCACCTTCGTCATCAAGGAGAAGTGTAAAGGTGACATTACCCGGCGCTGTGTCGATATTGCTCGTGGTTAGCCGTTGAAGAAGCTTGGCTGATCCGGGTCCAGAAACTTCCAGCCGGCGGATTGGCGTGAGATCGTACATTGCAGCCGCTGTCCGTGTCTTCCAGGCTTCTGCGGCAGCAATGTCGGAGTAGTACCTCGCTGACCAGGTATCACGCTTCTTTGGCTTCCACTTGTCAGGCAGCTGGCTGACAAGCGCCGCGTTAGCTTCAAACCACTGCGGACGCTCCCATCCCCCTGCCTCGAGGAAGTAAGCGCCGAGTTCCTTCTGGCGGGAGTGAAACGGGCTGACGCGGAGGTTGCGCGGTGACTCGCGCGGCTGAAGAGGGTGCAAGATGTCATAAACTTCGACAAAATTCTGCGTAGAGACCTCCTTGACGTACTCGGGCGCGAGTTGAATTTGTTCAAAGCGAGAAATGTCGCACTCTCCGAGATCGACCTCGGACTTCCCGGTGGTCAGAAGCTGTGCTACCGCGCGAGCAACACCGGCGGAGTGTGTCACCCAGACTGCTTCTGCGACGAAGAACCCTTCCAAATTGGGCGCTCTACCGACGAGAGGACCACCGTCTGGAGTGAAAGACATGATGCCGTTGAAGCCGTATTCGATCTCCGTTTCGGCAAGGGCAGGGAGAAGTTTCTTAGTGAGTTCCCATGCAGGCTTGAAGTCATCTGGGGTAAAGTCTAGACGCGATGGCATGTTGTGCTCATCGACATGCTTGGGCGTCTCGCCAAGCGAGGCAGCGACCACGGGAAGAGGGCGGTGGCCGTAGTAGCCAATACCATACTGTTCACCATGTTCGCGGTAGTAAAGATCCCGGTCCTGGTGGCGAAGAATGGGTAGTTGAGCGCCGTTCACCTCAAGCTTCTTCCCCTTCTGCGCTGGCACGGGGGTCGTCTTTGCGTACTGGTGGCCGACGGGCAGCAGTGGGATCGGTAGATCGATCATGGCACCGACCTCAACGCCCCACAGGCCGGCACATGCGATGACGAGATCGGCGGGAATCGCACCGTTCTTCGTCTCGACGCCTGTGACTCGGCCCTGGCTCCGCGCGATGCCCGTGACCGGGGTGTGCTCAAGATAACGGACACCGGCTTGCCGAGTGCGCTCGATAAGCACTTGAACTGCGCGAGCAGCCAATGCAAGACCATCGGTTGGAATGTGCAGGCCGCCAAGAATCACGTCTGTGCTGATAAGGGGGTAAATCTTCTTGACCTCGTCGGCGGTGAGCAGATTGGCCTCGATGCCCCAGGAGGAGGCATAACCGTGTTTCCTCTTGAGTTCTTCGAGTCTCTCTGGTGTTTCTGCCACTTCAAGGCCGCCGACTTGGTTGAAGCATTCTATTGAGAGCAGCTTTTGTACCGTGTATTTTGCAAAGGAGCTCATAGTCTTGGAACCCGTGGTTTGGAACACAAGACCGGGGGCATGAGATGTTGAGCCACCCGGCATGGCCAATGGCCCCTGTTCGACCACTGTGATGTTGGTCCACCCCCGCGAGACCAGCTCATCAGCGATGTTGGTACCAACTATGCCGGCCCCGATAATGACGACGCGCTGTGAGGGATCCATGATGTATGTGTGTGTGTATGTGTGAATCCTTCTTGTCTGGTGACAAGGGAAAGGAGATGTAAATAATAATGATGTATTCCGGGTTTAGAAGAACTCTTCTGGTGATAACCCCTCAAGATGATAGCATCGTGTACAGTTGCAAGACGGCTTATAAGTCACCCATGCCCGTCTGCGATACCCCAATTCAGTCTAGCCTCATTGTCGGTGTGGAGAACCTGGAGAACAGACATGGAGCTTGCTATAGATAGCAGCACCGTAGATGTGGCCCGGAGAGCCCAAGACGGCGGTCACCTGATCGGTTTCTTGAAGCCGATGCCGCCCGCGTTGGCCGATGCGCGTGGCCCCCAAAGGAACCCAAACACACTTCACACCTTCATGATATTGATCCATCAACACCACGTTCGCAAAGGCTTATCGCCACATAGACTCACTTGCGCTTGATTCGGTCATGGTATGGTCACCTTTGCAACCAGAGGTAGATAGCGGGCGCAACCAGCCTGTTGCGCTTGCACTTGGAACTTGGCCTCTTGCCAACATTCACTATCGTTTTGCTATACCAAACCCCCTAGGGTTGGACGAGCGAGGCCGGCTCATACCAGCCGGGGGAGGGGTGCCTCGTGCGCTCTGCTCCGAACTCGGCCACTGCGCCGGTGCCCTTCAACCCCGGCCACCATAACCATCGGGTGTTTGGCCTTATCTGTGTCATCATGATCGTGATCTGTCTGATGCTCTTTATGGATCATCGCGAGGAAGATAACGTTTCGAAAGCTGGAAGGAAGATGAGTCTTTGATGCTCCATCTACTGTTGGGCATCAACCGGTTTACGACCAGGCTCCGACGTCAGACAGCACCCCTCCTCCTCCATCGCCTTCCATCATCATATGATACAACTTGTGATTGTTCGCGCATTCTCCTTCACCATAACTATTGTGCAATCGGTGTGACTTAGACGTGCAGCCGAGTCCGGATGCGCAGTCCAGCCCGTCTCAATCGCCTCTTTCACTGTGCTTCCAAAGTTGCCGATAACCACAATCTCTCTAGGCAAGGTGCCGTTCATCCAATTCCCGACTATTGAGATACCAGAGTCTGCTATAGGCAAGTGTCGGTGAGCGTCGGGCCAAACGGCCGCGGGGGATTCGTCCGAAAAGTCGATGGACTATTGTCATGATAGGACTCGATATTAGCATCGCATTGGTTCCCACCAAGTCGGGCTCTCGTCGAAACGAGCCAAAACACCACGGCACAACTTCCAGGGATCCCATCACCGCGTGACTGGGAGGGGTAGAAACTTTTCCTGTAGTCGTTGTGACCCCGAATTTCTTGTCGCCTTTATGTGGTTATCAGCAGCACCCGCCTCACGTTGAAAGTCACAACCCTTGTCGTTTGCCCACCGCACTTGGCGTTACGGATCGTGCGCTGGCAAGTTGGTCAACGGCAGTGGGATGTTTGGCTCACCAAGGCTGACTGACGTTCGGAGCGTCTTGCCCGCTTGAGTCATGCAATCGCAGCTCTGTTCTTATGCGATGTGGGGATAACAAATGAGCAGAACTACGTGTCCTAAAGTACCCTAGCGATTGTCAAGAGCGGATTATTCGAACTCAGAAGAAGATCATCATTCCCTCCTTTGGCGCTTCATTGCCAGCCTGGATGGCAAGTGCTTTGCACTGGGTTCAATCGCAGTGACCATGGAGTGAGAAGCGGCCCATGGCAGTCGGCATCCGGCTTCCACAAGACAGGGGGTACCGCCTCTCAGAAACGGTAAGGCTATGAATGCTACTGTGCGTCAAAAACGGTTTGGCTCAGGACCCTGATTCTTGGCATGTGTGGCAGAGGGAAAGCAAGGCGCTTGAGGGGGGGGTGAAGAAGAACAGCCGTTGGGAGAAGACGAACACCTCTGCGAGTCTCTATATTCTCCCTGCCGAATAATAATCCAGACGGGCGGCGGACTTATGCCTAACGGCAAAGTCAAATGAGCGAATGTGTGCCCTGTCATTCCCAACTGGACTCGTAAGGGTTGGCGTGCTCGGGGCCAAGGAGACTGACCCATCGAGCAGTCTAGAACGACCTTGGTCGAACAAGACAGGATCTACCTAACACTCCGAAGCCTCTTCTAACCGCTCTGCAACCCCAACGACCCAGGCTACCCGGCTACCCCATCCGTGACACCCCCGATTTGCCTTCATAAAATAATTCCGTCTAAAACGAGAGCTTGATCCCTGCCTCCTCCCCCGCATGATCCACCACATTGGGGGCTCACCAAAGAAGCGCCGTTCCAAGTTCGTAAACCGCCTGGCGCCGCGTCTGCATGGGCTGCGAGTTTCTCCTCGGTGACTTCCCCGAGGTGGTTCATATTACCTAACAGTTATCCCATCGTGGCATCTTGCTTGGCGTTTTGATGCCCTCGTGTCACCGTGTCAGTCCGGTGACGGATCCCGATGGTAAACGTCAAAGACGAATCAATGACTCGAGCATCGTGTGCCACCTTGCTTTGCGTCTCTGAATCCATGCCATCAAGGGTCTGAAAAGAAGTCTTGGCCACAACATGACAATACGTTACCATGCTGCTCAAAGAGGTCTATCATGGCAGCTCAACTTTATAACTAAATATTGGAGCGGCTATTTGACGCATCAAGAAGACACAAGACATGAAGTCAACGAGGTGATCTATACGTGCTTACCACTGGGTAAAACCGGCATTATGTAGCGAAAATTTCTTCATTGCTAAAATTGATTAAACATGATATTGTTGAAGTTTTCCCCTTCCCACCATGCATTTCCTGGTTCCGATTGCGGGTAACTCATATCCCCAATGCCCACGAGCTGCGAGGGGTCCGCGTATAACCATGGTGTTGTGTTGAAGGTTAGGCTATCAATCTGCTCGACGGTCGGCGGGTCAAACACTGCGGCCCGTGACGTCGACGACGATGATGATGTCGCAGTCGAATTTGCCGGATTGGAGGAAACGTTGTGCGTCCTTTTGAATGTCGACGTCGGCGCCTCTTGCCCACCGTCTGCAATGTTGATGGTGATCTCCGGAGATGTGGCGACGATGATCTCGAGGGTTGAGCTGTCGCTAGTATCAACAGGTGGTACAGCAGGTGTGAGTGATGCGTCCAGGAGGCCGGCGGTTGGGATTTCCTGAGAGTCTGTTGTAGAGTTGAATTGAAGGATCTCCCACATCAAGGGGACGCTGAGGTAGATTTTAGACGGCATCCAGTCTTCTACGTCCATATTCTCGGTTCCTGCAGCAATGCGGGTCATCCTGTCGAGGTTACGGTCCTAGGTGTCATGGTCAACCATAAAGAACTTCTTGCGTGACTGGTATTTAACTCACCAATGCACCACAGGCTGCGGAACAGGGGATGAAGCTCTTTAAGAATCTCCTGCACTTAGCAAAGTCCGTATTAGATTTGTGCTTTAACCTCGCCGCCGCCGCGCAGCAGTAGTAAAGGTGAACCGTCGCAGCAATGGCAGCGACATGCCCAAAGAAAGGGTCTACCAGCGGTACCTGCTTGTCGACAACCATGTCAATCATCCGGACAATCCAAGTGGCGTGGAGCAGTGCTTGTTCTGAAGACCTCCTCCAGAATGTGTTTGGGATACCGAGGTTTGGGTTATGCTGGGCTCCAACGATGTAGAGAAACGGATGATTCAGGACTGTGGGTATCGCATGGTAAGTGAATTGCTCCTTCAACCATGGTGCCCAGTAGTCCCGGTTCACCTTGAGTTCGTCGATTTTTCGTTCGTAGAACTTGACAGAGTCATAACGGTGGCACATGGGTATCCTGTTTTCCGTCTCCATGAAGTCTGAGAGGACTTTGGCGTAGGTAGAGTCATTCCGCCATGGTTCCTTGAGGATGTTTCGTGAGCAATCCGAGACATATTTCCTGACCTGGCTCCAAACCCATCCCAGGCAGACACTCGTGTTCCAGATGCCCGTCTCGCCAGGGGAAGAGGTCCCAAGATCATCTCGGGGTAGTGGTGGCGCCTTGCACGAGTCCTGCTCCGACTGATTACCGCTTGACGGAAGAGTAGGCCTGCGCACGTCATTGGGAAAGCTCAATAACCCATCCTGGCGGCCGTAGGACTGTTCCAGCAACTGGAGGCTCCAGAAAAGTCTTTTCTTTCGGTCTGTTGTGGAATTATCCACCGCATAGACAGATTCTATATCAAGCATGGCTGACCGACACAGCTGAAGCGAAAGGCCGAGGTGGAATTGGCCCAGGTGCACATTGCCGTCTGTGAGATCAGTTTCCCATTTCAGTTACATCACGACGACGCTCTGCGCTGAGGTACTTACCTATGAAAGAGGCGTAAGACAGAAGACATAAACTCTCTATTGTCGTGATGTCCACGGTGCCATTGGCGATTCGAAGCATGATGAGTGTCTTTGCGTTACTGCTAAAGAGCTGCATGTGATCGCGTTGCTCAGAGAACCGCGATGTCAGCGCTAGGATACTGCTGGCGAGCTCTTCTGGCAAAGAGTCGTAGTCGCCGACTTCGTCTCTCTCAAAACACCAAATCGGCTGTCGATGGCAGTACTTGAAGTAGAGATTAATGCCCGTCGCCATGTCATCTGGGTCAAAGACGACAGAATTGCTGTTGTCGGTCGGGTAGTCCTGCCGGTTCCTCCGAGATGGCGGCGTTGCCGAAAATGACTTTTCCGACGCATCGGTGACTTCCTCGAACGTTGCCTGTTGTTGTGTTTGTGGTTGTCCTTGACGAGCGTGGTGGTTCGGTCTAAGAACCCGGTCAGATGGTCTGAACGAAGCATGTTCGCGTGCGGTGTCGTATTACAAGCCCCCTCCACTAAGGAGGAGATCCAGTTTCTCTTCCAAAGTTTGCAGTCTCTCATCCTATCGGTGGTAAGGCGTCTGATATCAGTAGGGGCAAGAGTACTTATGGCATGCGTACCGATCTTCCGCTTTGCGAAGGTCTCACCACAGGGTAAGAGCATGACTGAGACAACCGTACGCAACTCGAGCACGCCGGCTTCTCACCCGGGCACCGCGTCTTTTTCCTCCTGTACGGCGCGAACAAGCGTCAGCGAACAGTCCCTAACACGAGAAGAAACGAATTCCTGCTGGAAAAAAGCGGCAGACCTGCAAGTGAGACAGGCATGATGTGAGCGTCTTCTCCCCCTCAAGCTGGCCGAACTGATGGAGCCCTCCTCTGGCGGCATGTCATTGACGAATCTCACGGCCCTAGGAAGAAGACACGAGCAGCACTGCAAAGGGGGCCCGGAAGCGTACATGCCTCCACTAAATACTTTCAAAATTATAAACACCCCTTGCCACGAACCCCGCACCGTACGGACTAAACCGATGAGGGGCGCCCCGTCACCGTGCATCCCCCTCCTAGTCTAACCCCCCCTAGGTAAGACAGCCCCTCGATAAGGGACGGAAAGCATAAACCATGGCAGTCAGAAGAGATAAGAAGGACCGCTTAAGGCTATATCCTTGTCACGTGGATTGTCTACCGAAGAATTCGCTGACAATTCGGGAAGCCGACCATCCGAGATCGACAACTCCATCATGATCTTCAACGTCCATCATCAAGCTACCAAGGTAGAAGCCATAGGTGAACTAGAATCACCAGCACACTATCTTTTGGTGTAGTGAATCCAACTCAGTCGAAGCGCTTTTCATCCTAGACTAATGAGGTCTTTGTTCGGTCGTTTGGTCGACGTCTTCATCAATTAGTACTTGGTTGTAGGGGTAAGGTACCGTATTTGTGTTACACGGCAGAGCCCAAAGTTAATAACGGTTTGGAAATCCCACGGTAAATTTTGAGTGATGTCTGGCATCAGAAAGAAATGGAATCTCCGACTTCGGTGAAAGAGGGGAAAAAAGAATGATGGGATTTCACCTTCCTACCGCGCGGAGAACCTGAGAGCTCGTTAGCATGCAGACTGACAATGCGACACTACTGACAGGTTGTCTCTGCTTCAGCCACGACAACATGTTCTCGGCATGTAATTATTGCGCCTAACTAAGAACCAACCTATCATGAATCATCGTGTCTCCGGCCTTTTGTGCACACGGTGATGTGGAGAGTGGGAACCAATGACCTTTCATAAAACCTTGGATTACCAAGTCAACTCCACTAAGCATGTATGTACGCCGTTGATCTATGCCGATGCAACTACATATGAAACCAAACTGCCTCACATATCACAACCTTGCTACCGGGTCCACAAGGTCGGTTAATTCAGAGTTGGGATACTCTGGGTTCTGGAGATGATCCGGGCGCTCACGGTCCCACGCCCATCTCGTCTTGAGCTCTGGCGACAACGAGTCTTCGAGCATCTGGATCACATACTTGCCAAGCACAGGGAAGAACTTGAAGCCGTGGAACGAGCCACACGTGGCGAGATACAGACCCTTGGCCGCCGAGTGCGGAGAGATGATGAAGTCGGAGCTAGTTGTGAAGGCATCCCTAAACGCACAGTTAGCACGTTGCTTTGAAATCTAAAACAAGGCTTGATCATCATTAACAATTCACTTACCAGCAGATCCGGTGCTTGGTCATCTTCCAGTTTGCGCTCTTCTTCCCATACCACAGATTACGCTGCTCAGCGATATCTTCCTTGAGCTGCCGGGACACCTTCCACTGACTGTAATCTTTCGCCGGTGGAGGCGCTGAGACGTGGCGACCAGGCAGGATTTCTTTGGTGTTTGAGAAGATCTTGGATCCCCACCACTTGAGTTCTCTGTCCTTCGTTGGCGGAATGCTTCCGATAAAGGGCTTTCCTGTTTCGATCGTGAGTTTTTTTTCCCGCCTAATCGCAATGCGGAAGGAAAAAGAAGGTGCGGCGTCGTTAACAAAGACAAAAATAGAGAGAGAAAACATACCATGTCCTGTGTACCCCTGGAACCCGACGGGCATGTCGGCATACTTCTTGTACTCCTCTTCGTCAAGCTCCGCCATGCCAGTGGTAATTCCAGCAGCCAGAATGCGGTCACCGGCTCGGAGGTTGCTTAGGCCGCTCTTTGCGGCACTCAACTCCAGCAACTTTGGCGTGTAAGCTCCCGTGGAGAGAATAGTGTGTTCCGCGGTCAGAATTTCTCCTGTAGTCGTCTTGATACCTGTGCAGTTGCCACGCCGGTCAAATTCCAGAGAAGCAGTTTCAGCCGTCACATACTTGACGCCTAATTTGATAGATTCGCGAGTGACAGCTCTTAAGCAGTCGCCAGCAGCCGCCCATCCGCTCGCACGGTTGACGAGAACTTCTTTGGCGCCAGAGTAGTCAGCATCTTCGAAAAGACCATTATACAATTTCCGAGCTTCAGAGATGGGCAGAGCAATAATATCGTCTTTGCGGCCGAGCTTCTTGTGATGGTCTATAACATTCTGGGCGTAGTCGCTTCGGCAGATCCAGTAAACACCCGTTTGGTGGAAATAGGGCTGCCAGAGAGGGTCGTTCTTGAAAGTGTCTTGGGCCTCCAGGGCTAGCTGACAGTAGGTAAAGTCGTCGTAGTCGGCGCGGACCACCTTATTCCAGTCCCATGAGGCGGCCACGCGCTCATCGGCGTCGAATGCATCCTTGTCGACCAGGGTCACGGATGCATCGGGGTACTTCTTGATAAGGTGATAGGCGGTAGACACACCAAACACACCAGCGCCAACAATGAGATAGGAAGGTTTGCTCTGGTCCATTTTGTTGAAAAAGTAGAATGACATGGATCGGCGGGAGAGGGGGGGAAGAACTTGGTCAAAAAGGGACTCTTGCAGCCAAGCAGAGTAGAGATCTCTTTCGACTATGGAGGTTCCCAAGACGGCACAGAGAGACGGAAACAAATAAGTCGAGTGTTACCTTGAATACCTTGCATCGTCACTTTCATGGAGCGAGAAGACGGTTTACTTATCGGTGACCCGTGTGAACTCCCCCGCCTCCAAGAGCGGAAGGGGTCCCGATGTCGGCTGGCATTCCGAATGCCGATCACGTGACGAAATGAGGTATCCGGGGACCGGCTTTCTTTGAGTGGTGTATCCCTCTCTATCTTCCAAAAAAAAAAAAACATGAGCATCATCAGATCGTGATCTTCGCGTTCTTGAATAGAAACACTGCAATGCAAGTTTATCTTGTAGGTCAAAGACAGAGACGGGGCATTGGCTGACATTTTGAGTTGCTTCGGTTGGATATTCCATAACCCATGGGCAAACACCAGGGATGCCCCCGGATGAATCGCGATAAGACCCTGGAACCCAGTGTTAGAAGAGCAATGATCCTTACCAGACTCTCCTTGACTTAGTCGTCTTCTCCATAAACAGCAGATACGGTCAACACCATCACGATAGATACGGGAATCCTCGGTGTGCCTGTATGTTATGACCTGACCAGGTGGTTGACTCGTTGACAGCTGTACCCTACATCGCAGATCGGTAATCTAGTGCAAAGTGCCGGTCTGGTACCGAGCGTGACAGGCACTTGAAGTTGATGCACCGCGGCCAACACACCAAGGGTATCCGGACTAGTGCGCCGACGGCGTCACGTACGCCGAGCCGCCACAAATGGTACGAGAGGAGTGCAGGGTGCAGCGAATGGGACGAACACAGTGCTACGTTGACGCCAATGGAGCCAAAGGCATTACGTTGTTGACATCGAGGATGAGCAGCGGCTGGAAAACGACGTGTAACCATCGGGTGCCAATGGAGTCAAAACCGCCTGGGCGTTCACGAGGCGGGGACTGGGGGGACTACCCAATGAAGAATGCACAGTGAAAAGTTTCCAGATTGGGAAAGGATACTCGTTAGTGCCAGATATGTGACAGATACTAACTCCTGACCGGGGGAGCTTCTGAGGGGACTGACTGGTCGAAGCTGTGATAAGCAGGGATGATCAACCTTAAGTCTGTGTGTAGAGATGGACCGGATCTTCATGGAAGGATGTCCAGCTCAAAACACGGCTTTGAAAAGTCTAGACTCCTGGGGGTGGGTGCTGCATCAAGTGATACACCATGATGAATCCTATCTACACTGCCCTCAAGGGCCCCCAGCTTACCCAGGACCTCTACCATCACAGCGCGGCTCGGTCCGTATATCCCACCCCATGGTGTTTGGAGTACGAGTCGGTCCGCGTGAGATGTGTTTGCCGGTCATGTGATCGGTATTCACGACCGCATCAACAGCCACCTGATGGCTTTGGGTGTCCGGAATTGTCAGAGGCGTTCGGTGTGCGACATCGAGCACCGGCCGGCCCAAACGATGGTTTCCAGTCCAGGAGATAGGAAAGGGCGAAACACGGACTCAGTCTACCGGCCAGGGCTTATCATGGCTATATAGAAGGACTGCCATCTCAGGTCATAGAGTTGTAGATAAGCCAAATCAGACCACAATCATCAGACTACAACTACCGAGCATCAGCTCCAGTTCCCCAGCTCTCATCGTTTCCAACGAGCTATCATCTTACATAGAATTGCGGGTTTAGCAATGTCACTTTTCAAGAACTACTTTGGCCTCGGCGGCTCCAAGCCTGCTGCCCAGGATGAGAAAACCCCTGTCAGAGCCCTTCCTGCCTCCTGGTACACCTCTCAAGAGATGTACGAGCTTGAACGTCGTGCCATCTTCTCCAGAAAATGGCTCCTCACTACACACAGGGCCAGAATCCCCAATCCTGGTGACTGGGTCCGCTACGATGTTGCCGGCTACCAATTCATCATTGTCCAAGACCGAAAAGGAAACATCAACGCCATGCACAACATTTGCCGGCATCGAGCGTTCCCCGTTGTGACCAAGGAAGAGGGAAACAGCTACGTCTTTTCCTGCAAGTACCATGGCTGGTCCTACGGTCTGGCGGGTAACTTGGCCAAGGCTCCTGGTTACCAGGAGCTTGCGGGCTTCGACAAGTCTCAGAACAACCTGTTCCCCATTCACGTTCACGTCGACCGCAATGGCTTTATCTGGGTCAACCTTGATGCTGCCGAGACGCCCGAGATTGCGTGGAACGATGACTTCCTCGGCATCGATGAGCAGGAGAGATTCGAGCATTACAACTTTGAGGACTACGTCTTTGACCACCACTGGGAGATGGAGGGAGAGTGGAACTGGAAGATCCTGGCCGACAACTACAATGAGTGCTACCACTGCCCGACTGCCCACCCAGATATTCCCTCCATCGCAGACCTCAACTCCTACTTCGTCAACACTCAGAACGCATACATTCAGCACTTTGGTCAGCCCACACCTGAGCAGATCGCCAAGGGCTTCCGTGTCGCTGCTACCTACTTCTGGCCTAACGCCTCTATGAACGTCTCGTAAGTTTCTCACGTACCTTACTTACGAAAGGTGTACTCCATTGCTAACATTTCTTTAAGACCACACTTCTTCTTCATCCAGCGATTCGTTCCCGACGGACCTTCCAAGTCCCAGATGCGCTATGAGGTTTACCGCAACAAGAACTCTAGCGACGAGGACTTCAATGTCATCAGTGATATGTACAAGCGCATCATGTCCGAGGACAAGTACCTCTGCGCCAACGCCCAGAAGAACATTAACGCTGGGATCTTTGTCAACGGCGAGCTCCACCCTGAGATGGAGAAGGGTCCTCTCTTCTTCCAGAAAACGGTGCGCGAGATCATCACCGAGCACTGGAAGAAGGAGCAACAATCCGGCAGCGAGATCTGGCCGGCGCAGCAGCAGGTGCCAAAGACAGATACGGCGAGTCAGAGTGATTCACAGCTTTGTGCGGCAATCGACTGCTGTAGCAGAGGCAAAGGCAGAATGGACGACAACAAGAAGATGTGTCTTGATGAGGCGATTGCATTTTGATTCGAAGTTGTTGTGAAGTAGAAGCCCGAAGGACGGCAGGCATGGATCATGGCGAGACTTGAGCATCTCACCCTTTGGCGTTGGATATTGATAGCCTTCATTTTACACCACCTTAGTTAATTGGGCGAAATTGACACTTTGAGCATTCTTTCCATGACAAGTTGCCAATATGCCGTCGTCACTGAGCGAAGTATTCGATGATTTCGTGGTTCTCGAATTCGGAGTGATCAAGAATTCTTTCTTTTGCCATGTGTTCTGGAACATTTTGCGCGGGAAACTTGCCGGACTCCATTTCCATTCTCCACTAATAATAACAGCTCATGAAGAACTCCTACACTTGATGCAATATAAGTCTCAATCATGGTGGTTGTGCGGACTGTCATGCTCTAAGCCTCATTTTTCAAGGAATGTGTAATCTTTGTCTTATATCGGGGTCGTTCCGTGTTGGAGATGCTCTTAAAACACCTTTATACTTGCTCCTGCCCCTTGCTCTGAACTGCAACTCCCTCGACACCCAGATCACTCTCAGACTCATCTGAATTCTGCAAAGTCTCCTCCCCGCCTTGGTTCCAGTTACCAAAAACAGCAAGCAGCGTGAAAGGAATCGTGACGGCCCAAAGAGAGAATCCCAAAATCATCTGGTTCTTGTTGGGCCAGTGTGTCGCGCCAACGGCGTAGGCAATCGTACTACCTATCGATTCCCACGATCGTAAGATTCCCGTGGTGCGCGCGATATCACCATCACCCTGAGCGCCCTTAATCTCAGCCATCAGCCAGTAGATGTATGTCTGCAACATCTCATAAAAGAACTTGAAGAACATGTAGACCGTAAAAGCAGAATTGAAAAATGGACCATCACCGAGGTCGAAAGACGGCGGGTCCTCCATGCGTGATAGGCGTGTCTCAATGATAGCATTCCAGATCCATGCGGTCGTGATGAAGACAAGAATGATAATATAGACGACCTTGGATTTGGTGGAGCGTTCAAATCGTTTAACGTCCAGAATTGCGCCGGTGGTTATGTTCGCGGCGGCACCGACAATGGCTGTGAGGAACGATGCCAAGGCTCTGGACCGGACGGTGAAGTACGCTTTTGATCGATTATTAGTCACTTGCATGCTCATGAGTAAAGGCTACTATGTCGGAGACGTACTTGTGAGATAATTCCCCTGGTAGGTGGTGCCGAACTGGCCAGCCAAGAAAACGGGGATGAGTAGCAACATGTACTTGTTCTTTAGCTGTTTCCAAATGGCCCTAGCTTCGATGGCGAAGTTGGTCTGCTTCATGTACGGAATCTTTGTGCCATCGGTTCTGATGACTTTCTGGGGTTGTGATAGCAATAAAGCGGCGGGTGCTCCCAAAGATGAGATGGCAACTAAGCCGAGATACGTTGTGTAGGTGACCTTGCCCTTTTCGGCTGTCTTGATGTTCAGCGCCAGGGAGATTGCGCCGCCAACGAGGGGCCCCATTTGTCGAATGCCCATCCATATTCCGACATATCTGGGTGACGTTTTGTCAGTCGGCTGCTATCAGCGTGTTAAAAGAGCACGGGTGTAGAGAACTTACCGGCCTCTCTTCTCCGCCTCGGGATAGCCAACTGCAATGGCTGCCTCACTCGCCCACAACAGCGATGCTCCAATGCCACAAAGCCCGGCACCAAGCAGTAAGAACCACTCGTTACCATACCGGTTGTTGCAGTACAGCCCTGCCGCGTAGGGAGTGTAGAATGCCGCACCGATGAACAGAGTCCATTTTGCTGTAATCTTGTTCGTAATGCCTCCTGCTATGAAACATCCCACAGACATGAGTCCGTATGTAAGAGAGTTGGCGGCATTGTTCAACAGAGGCTATCAGGAATTCTTAGCATGTGAAGCACAACCCATCAGACGATGAAACTTACGGATGCGTTCCCGCCAGCCCCGAGATTGTTCAGTGCTGTCCATATTCCCGGCTCACAAAAAGCCACAATCCCAACAATGATGATCTGAAAAAGACACGATCGGTAAATCTGGCTCAATCGCTCCAAAGCCATGATGATGTTACTTCCCAGCGATTTCGATAGACGGCACAGATATCAAGATCACTCTTGGGAAGATTGAGAACGTATCCGGCACTTCTACTTCGTAGCAGCTAGCTGAGTTTAACACCCTCGAGCACCTTCAGGTTGGCAAGCACGTCAGGCTCCATAAGGAATTCGGAATTTCAGAGTTTGCATCAGAACTGCAAAGTTATGGGCAAATTAAGATAACAAGAGCAGCACGCAATTGTGAAAGTGGGCGTGGTAAGTCGCTTCAAAATATCATGCTTCAATTCCCCGGCGCAACGTAGGATCAGAGGTGGACGCAGTCAAGCAGGGCTGGCATTAACCGTGACGATAGGACCCGCATCAAGACTGCCGAAGTTGACCCCGAAGTTTCGATAAGTTGGATTGGCCAACTGGAAGCCACAAGCTGCAGACATCGGGTATGACTTCAAGGTAACAAGCGTGGGAATCCATGATCACGCCATGCCCCACGCAGATGGTGTTGGCGATAGAAGTCAACTAATCACATTGCTGACTTTAACTCCGCTACCTTACAAGACAGAAGATGTACCAGGCTTCCCATGAAATACTCTCAATGCTTCCAGCTTTTTATTACAAATTATACTTGATAAATTCCATCTGCGTGATTAGAAGATTCTCGAGACAAGCATCGAGATCATTAAAAACTGCATATCTAGCTTCCAAAGTCTGTTTACAGAGAGCTTATGCTTCTCCTCGAAAGTTCTCAGACAAGCCACACAAGATACGAAACAGTTTTCAACGGTGTGAACGCTCCCTAACTGCCTACTCTCAGCTGGCACTCTGCAATATCTCTGGAGCCTTTGAGCAGCGCTGTGCTTAGAAGCCGAGTCAATTACTGACTATACTCTTGGACTCATGAGAGGCGAAATCGATTATATACGTCAGAATGGACTTCTGAAAATATCTTTCTCAGGATGGAAAAATGACGATTCCTGATTGGTATATGAACATCAGGAAGGCCATTGCAGAGATCCCCAAAGCTGGATTGGTTGGCCCATAATTGTAGCTCCAATGTGAGATATCTGCTAATCGGAAGCGAGGCCGTGGAGTTTTGAGATCAAGATAACAATAGAACGTGGTATCGAGATTTGCACCAACTAATTGCATCACCTAGCCTGACCTGCGAGGGTAGGGACGGTAATAGATGTTGCAGGTATGACCGTTGTGGCTTGTGGCTAAGCACGTCTCAGTTGAGCGCTGGAATGGTGAGGCTGGGGCAGTGGTGGCGTAGCAGACTGATCCATTGATTAGATAAGCGAACACTCCTCGCCCGTCTGTGGGCATTTTCAACTGTAGCTGAGAACCCCCAACCAGCTGAACCAATGAACCTCATATAATTACTGTGCCTCAGTTCGTAGTTGCAAGTGAACCTTTTCCGGCCAACTCTCTCTATTATCCGGTGAATCATAGCAAACATAAGGCTGATGCAGACTGTAGTTCTAATCAATCTGCACCATGCGTCCTGAACCCTGGTCATCCTGACTTTTGATAGTCGGCCAGGGACGGCAGAAAGTAGTTTATCTAGTCTTGGAAATCAATCAGAGAAGTACCTCCAAATTTCGGGCATATCACGAAAACGGAGCACAAAAGTGACATATCATGGATAATTCAACACAAGGCCCTAAGACTCAGAAAGTGTATGGTGTCGCCAACTGGAACTTGAACAACGTCTTCTTTTGCTTGGTAGGTGAGATATCGGGGCTCAGATTGAGTTGTCTTGACGGACTATATCACATTGTTCTTTCTTGCTTGCAGGTGGGTAAAGATGCCGGATCATGTCAGTTTTCATTGAATAAGCCTGCCTCTACTTTGCCGTCATCGTTGCCTTTGTTCACATTCCTACCTATGGTCACCTCAAGGTCTACAATCTACTAGAAGGTTGTATCTCAACATAAGCCTTTCTTTCCCCCTCTTGACTTTTTACCGAAATTCTTTGCATCAAGTCCAACCCTTTTTTTCTTTACTGCAATGTCAATACCGTTGGATCCAATGGAACGTCAAGTGCATTGGAACTCTCAAGGAACGCTCCACCTCAAAGTAATTACCTCAAGGAATCTGGTACCTTAGGCAGCGACTGCAGGTTCCCGATGGCAACTGTAATGGAAGAAACTCGAGAATATTGGAAGGACCGCGCCTGCCTACTTTTTTGCCCGGAATGCACCTTCCCACTTCAAGTTTTGGTCAGTCGCCTCGAGATTCAAGACCCACCTTTGTCTCTTCCGCCCCAAACGCTGGTTATTCCTCCTTGCGATGCTGTATATCCATCTCGACTTTTTTTTCACCCTCTTGTTTTTCTCCCCCATCTCTCAAACTCCTTCTCTACCTTAGAGTATCTCTACACTCAACACGCCTCAACGTATCTCACATCATTCTTTCCGAGAGAACCCGCCGTCCTCACATTCGTCCAAGAAGACCCCGATATCAAGTGAAGCACCACCCTATTGCGACTTAGTGGAATATTCCGGCCACCATGGACCCCTTGCTGGTGGAATCGCCAGCAGCCGTCCATGGTGCGCTTTTCAGCCCCCTGGCAATGCCAGCCAAACTCCCACAGCAGCGAGACCCAGAGAAGCAAATCCAGCTCATCGAGTCTGAACTCGTTCAGCGTTTGGCAGCCGCCGCCAAGATCATGAGCGAATTGCCTGGAAACGCTGATCAATGCCGCGATGTCTGGCACTCAGTTGGCAAAACACTCGGTGCCTGCCAGCATCTCAACGCAGCCGGGCGAATTGACAAGGCAATTCTTCTCCGAGAACTGCACGACCTGGGCCCGTCTGGCTGCATTGTTCTGCACATCGAGAAACAGAATGCTGGTCTCATCATCCGTCGAGCACAAGAGTGAGTTTTCCTTCAATCTGAAAAACCATCGTCTTCACAAGTTCATGGGCCGCTGACAAGTTTCCTCTTCAGTCCCATATTCAACGACAGTGTCGTCTTCGAGGCCTTCGAAGCGTCTGCCAAGAATGAACAGGTCTTAGCCACCGAGGGCGCTCTGCTCTGGGACTTCCCCGGGATCGCGGTCGCCATCCCGTTCACGACCTTCGCCGATCAGCACTTTCAATCAAGCTTAGCCACATTCATTGAGCAGGCGTCGCTGGAAACCGTCAAGGACTTCGCTGCTCACGCCTTCAAGGCCGGCACTAGTGTCTTCGAGTATCGCAACACCGGTGACCCTTCCATCATCACCTCTCTACTCATGGCAATTCTTGAAGAAAATGGCCGCCGGGTTGCCCCAGTCCTTCTCAGGAAGCGTGTTCGCGACGACATTTGCTGGGATCACGCCAAAAGGCCATGGCGCAGACTACCTTACTATCTCATCCTCCGCGTCTGTATCGAGAGATTCCTCTGCGTCTCGTTGAGTCCGGAGCAAGGTCGCCTTGAGTACAAGTTCTTCATGTGTGTCCTTTTGTCAACGTTCCTCGACGCCACAATCACCTTCCAAGCCAGCGCTGAAAATGTTCACTTTCTCAAAAAGAAAATCTGCCGTCGGCTCGTCAAAGTTGACCTGGATAGAAGCCGCTCCCAGGATCGTGTCGCCGTCTCGAGGTACGACTTTCTCTTCAATCGTCTCAATCCCACCTTCACCGCAACCATCGACAAGTGTTCCTACTTTCTCCATCGTGCGATTACACAGACGAGAAAGAGCTTGACTAAACAAATCCCCACGCTTCCACGGAAAGCCCCTTTCGTGGACATGCAGCTTGGTCTCAGGGCCAGCTATGAGTACATCAAAAAGGTCATCCTCAGCAACAAAGCGCCACGCAGAAGACGACGATATCGGGAAATTCCGGGCGAAGGTCCAGTTGAAGCACCCAGAGACCATCTCAGTCATTATGCACAGCGCTATCATAAGCTGATCAACACCGAGACGGAGCTCCTTGCATCGACAAAAGATTCCTGCACACAGATTTCTCAGCAAATCTTTGACTACATCCATACAGCGGCTCCTCTGTACGAGGGCAACGCAGAACAAAAGAGCCAGATGCTTCTGACAGTCATGGAGTTGTGGATCAAGATGGATTCGATTGCTTGCGCTTCATTCCCCCTGCTGACGGACTTTCACCCAATGTTCTACCCACAAATGCTAGATGTTCTCCTTCTGCCTCAGCTTGGGGATATGAGGCGCCTCGGCATGCTCCAAGATCTTCTGTCAGCTCGCGTGAAAAACGCTAGTGCCAGCCGCCGCAACATCTTTGAGGACCCATCCCCGGGTTGCTTTGCTGAGCGGTACTACAAGGAATCAAGTGAGGGGTCGGTCTTAAAAGACTTGCACGGAGCAATCATTGAATTAGCCAGCAATATGCGCGATCAGAAACAACGGGAGTGGAAAAAGAAAAGCAAGGAATATGACGAATTGATCAGCCGCATTGATATCAGCGCCTGCACTTACATCTTCGACGAGCACAATCCCCAGGGCCGGGGGTATCATGACCGCAACTGTTCGAGATGTTCCATGATGGGGAAAGCTCAAAGCATGCGCATTAATATATTCGAAGACCCCCTGCCTAGTGACCCTGTCGTTGCACGAGCGGATATTTTCGAATTAGTTTGTCCAAAGGAGTTTGCGGCATATCGAGACACGACATGGTGGCTTCTTCGACATCTCGCGACTCACTTCGATGACCAAGGTATTTTACCTCGGTGTCTTCTGAGAGACTATCTCCAGCTGAAGTCTTTTTGGAGACCGAGCCAGCACAAGCTTGGCTTAGCCTCGACTACAAAGCCTTGTAAGTTTCCACTATAACTTGAAATCTACAGCCCTTTTTCGCGTACCGATCGGCTTGCCGCCTTCTGTACCTATTTCGAGCTACAGCAAATTTCTAACCATCTGACCCTACAGTCCATGTAACTCATTACACTTCGATGCCGTTTCCAGTTGAATGGGAAGGAGGACGTGATGGTGTATGCCGCCCAAACGCTCTGAAGCTCGGATACTTTGACGAATCGACCTCAACATGGCCCGGCCGTGTCAGATTCCGACCTTTATTCGACCACCAAGTGGCTCTGGCCCTGCCAAAGAGCTCGCCGTGGAGTACGCTGCTGGAGACAAAGGCTTACTCGTTGAGTGGTCCAGGTCCATCGTCCTACGAAGTTGTTGCCAGCCAGTCAAGCTGCCCTCCAGGGATTAACAACCACGAATATCTGGCCATGCAAACGCTCATGGCTGGAGAATCCCAACGCTGGATTGTGTTGCTCACAGAACTGGCTTCAACAAACCTGAACTTCTCAAGCAAAGTCACGATGCTTCTGGTGACCCATCTTGCCCTTCAAAGCGGCCCACAAGATAACTCGGGCGACTTTCTTCGAGCCACTCACACCATCTTTCGAGATGAATCGTTCTGCAAGAGACTATTGGAGCAGATTCAGACGCGACTAGAAACTGTGCAAGCCAATTGGCGCGAAACGTACCAAATGGACATTCTGATTACACTTCTGCTCCGGACATTCGCGTTGACAACCACAAGCCCCGACCAAAAGGGATTTTCAAACATTATTCGAGCTCGCGAAATCTGCTTGCGATGGGTTGAAATGCTTCGCTTTGAGACATTCCGAGCAAGGGATGCTGAAACAGCCCGCAGGTGCCAACAGTACGCTCTTTGGGCAGCGGTTCTTTGCAAGCGCACGTACGTCATTCACGCGAACCAGGTTGCGAATCTTGATTCGCTTTCGTTGCGGACGTACATCGAGTGTTGTATTACAGTCCAGGATAACTTGGTTGTTGACGTTGGCGCACTGCCTCAAGTTCTCCAACACGCTGTCGTTTCGGACATGAAGCTATCATATCGTCTATCACCAATGGTTCGCAAGTCTATTGCTTCTGCACCTGACATGTTTAGGATCGCAATTATGACAGTGTGGCCTGAAGCCGACAGCCATTCTCGTACGATTTCGTCTCTCCAACTCGAGTCAGAATGGGTTATCTGCGAGATCCAAGGCCATGATGGTTGGGAAGAGCGCATGCAGACTGTTCAGTACAACATTTGCACTGGGTTACTCCTCGTCGACAACCGTCCTCTTGGAGTATGTGTTCGTTGACTGGAAATCAGCTAGTGAGATAGGCTAACTCATTGATAGAAACTCCCCAAGCCACCTGAACATACAGAAGTACTCACGGAACTTTTCGGGGAGCAGGCTTTGCTTACTCGCCCTTCGGACATGCCTGGCATGGACTACAGTGAGCCTCATTCCCAAGAAAGTGTGAGATTGTTTTGACCGACCCGAGTACCAGCATTGACTGTCAAACATCATGGATATCGCATCGACATTGGATATGACGGCAGTTCAATTGTCATTCGGGCAACTAAAGGACAGCAGTACCTTCAATTGATACAGAGAAGCAAGTTCAAATCGCGAGACGCATGGGATCTACCCGGCCCTCTTCTGAATGATTGCGTTCACTGGCTGTAAGTTTTTGAATAATAATGTGCGGGTTGGGACTTCGGCTAACTTCTCAAATCAAACAAAAAGGGACCTACGGAGTGGAAAGGTGCTCATCACCCCGAACGCCGACAAATGGAACATTGGTCACCATAACTGGATTCTCGATGTTCAAGATCGTAGCTGTATGAACAAGAGTTCTCGGCTTGTCGATACGTATAGTTCCCTGTTCGGCCGTATCGCTGACATTTTCGGTGGCTTTGAAGAACGCATGAACCTCCTTGTGTTCCAGCCGCATTCAGGACATTTGAGCGTAGAGATCCGCCGGCTCCAACTTCTCTTCTACGTCAACACCTGCCGCCTGCTCCAATCACCTCAATTGGGATCTGAAATTGACTCAGACCAAGATGCGGGCACTTGATACGGCCTTGAAAGCAAGCTGGTTTTGCGGAACCCACGCGATATCCAGCAGAGAAGCATCTTGACACCAATTGGTGCAGTGGAAGCGAAACAAAACAATAACAACATGGTAGTGAGAGTGCTTCCCAGTGGAGACTACGGCAAGTTTGTCATCAACAGACATCTCGGACGGATCGAATCAGCTCCAGAGCCAATGCTTCTCTATATGAAGGCACAGCTGCACGCATATACGTCTTCGTCGTTCCCGGACCCTCTCACTGAACGGACTGGGACTGAAGAGGCATTACAATGGCTAAGATCTGGGATCTGTCAACCCTGGTCTCCCCTTCACAGTGGACCAATCAAAGTACTACTCAAGATCGCGCAGCTCACTCCACAGCATGAGTATTATCCGACCGGTCTCAAAGTCATGAAAACGGATCGCTGGGATGTAAGCTTGACCGAAGGCGTACAGCATGAAATGTTCAGACCTATTGTTGAACAGATCTTGTCAATTTCTGCGGAGCTTCAATCCTTTGCGCTCGTAGATGTCAACTTCGGCGTATTGCCACCCGCTGGCGATCTTCACCTGCATACTCGGGCCCGGCTTCGCAGGCAGATATATGAGCGGTCTTTCGATAATAGCTCAGATATTACGAAGGCCGTCGACTGCAAATACCAGTCGCGCGATGTCCCAGCATCTTCTAACCAGCGTCACTTGCAAGTTCTGGAGATTGTCAACTTTCTCCGAACTTGGCCACACAAGGCGATGACGACGCGGTGCCTGGCACAGCAGCTTTCTCAACACAATCTGATCGGTGGCTTTCAAGAACTCTGCGAGAAGAACTCACTGAACGACCGCCTGGGCATTGACATTGCGGCAAACTGGGGCTCATTAGTCAAGTCTTGCCGGGAACAAGAAAATCCCTTTGTGCTGATGTTCATGCTGGCACCCATTTCGTACGGCTCGAAAGCCGATTTGAGTCTTATCAAGACTTTAGCGGCTTTTGCAGTTTACGAGGAATTGAAAGCTGTCGAGCTACCTGTTTGGGTCGAGTATCGAGACTTCCAATCCAACCACGCCCCTCAGCTAGACAATCTCATTGAAGCGATTGGACCGTTCAAGACTCCAGCCCCCAAGAATGATGCTGACGAACTCAAAAGCTTTGCCAGTGCCAAACAGCTTCGACGTATGAGAGACGAGACAGCAGCCTGGGATCTCAAGGCCAATGATGATTGCAGGTTCTTGGCGAAGTACTTACTTGAGCAGTGGCCTTGCATCGAGCCCGGCGTTGCAGACATATCCAAGCCTTTGCAGGTCGACATCGAAGCTGCTTTGAGTGTGGTCCGAGTGGGATGGAAGCACCTCTACCAAAACAAGGACTTGTGTGCACACTTGAACACTGTTCAGTCTATTCTGGATCAGCACCAAAGTGAGACAAATTATGAGGCCTCGTGCTTCATTGCATCAGAAGAGAGCTTTGGAGACCGCTTGCGTGGTGGTGAGATCCCTTCACTGAGGTCTGACTTGTTGCGAAAGACAGTTCCGAGTCCTCACAACGGTGGAAAGACCAACTTCAGAGATGATATCAAGGTCAAGATCGTTAATCCTAGGGCTGGCCGTCTTGTCGAACCATCCCGCCATCCAGGTCACATTCGCCAACCAATCAAGCTTCCACCCTCAGCAACCCGAAGTCTTGGGACGAACGTTCTAGCACCGAGCTGGATGTCCGCGAAGACGACTCTGCGTCCTTCCACCGGTGCCATTGCCGAGCTGAAAAAGATTGTGTCGAACCTATCCAACTCGAAGTCGCTGGTCCGTCAAAAATACGCGGAAGACCTGGAGAAGAGTCTAGACGCTTTTGTTTCCAGGCATGCCTCTAAACACACCAGAGACGATATGCCACCAGATTTTGTTTCTCGAGAAGTTTCTTTGTCGCTTCTCTCGACCCAACGACGTTACAAGGCTATTGCTCTTGCTCTAGAGAAACCTGACGAGAATCTCTCTGCTGAAAGCGTGCATTGGCTCAAGGCCGGCCAGCTTTGGCCTGCGATCACCACGGTGACCTTGTTGGAACAGCTCCGGTCGACAGCCACGCCCGTTCAGTTCGGCAACTCGGTGTTCCAGACATTGCTGGACTTTGGTATCTCGATCACAAACGCTCAGCGAGATCTCCGTATTAACCATGCTATTATGCGTGGCGATGCTGGACGATACGCAGACGAGATGGCAAACAAGGGCCACTCGAACTGGCAGCCATCCGAGCATCCCGATTGGCTACTTCTCGAAATCGAAGCAAACTTGATGATACGACCCGACCAGGTTGACGTCGCCTTGGCTACAATATCTCCGGCTTCTGGTTGTAATTCTGTTTTGCAGATGAACATGGGGCAAGGTCAGTTGTACCAACAACCCTGCTTACACACTTTCTCTTACAATGCTGATGGCTAATGATGAACAGGCAAAACATCTTGCATCATACCCATGGTGGCTGCTGCACTGGCAGATACCAAAACCCTTGTAAGGGTAGTGGTCCCAAAAGCTCTTCTGCTGCAAACGGCTCAGCTCCTTGAGGCACGACTCGGCGGTCTTCTCAATCGACAAGTCCGGCACATTCCGTTCTCCCGTCGAACCCCTACACAGGAAAACCTCATTCGAGCATACCATAAAGTGCACAGAACTATAATGAAGCAAGCCGGGGTCATGGTATGCCAGCCGGAGCACAACCTGTCCTTCATGTTGAGTGGCCTGCAGCGGATGGTGGACAACAGGATGCCGGAAGCTGGGCCAATGATCAACGTTTAGTCGTGGCTGCGCACTCGATGCCGCGACATCTTGGATGAGTCTGATTACACATTAGCTGTGAGAACACAGCTAATCTACCCCTCCGGCTCACAGATGACTGTCGATGGGCATCCTCATCGTTGGCAAGTGGCTCAAGACCTCTTGCGACTCGTTGACAGGCATCTATACGCCCTAGCCCACCAGTTTCCGAACTCAATCGAAGTCATTCGACGATCCGGGGGAGGCTTCCCATTACTCTTCTTCTTACGAACGGACGTTGAGGAGGCGCTTGTCAAGCTTCTTACTTCAGATGTGTTACGGGGTGATGCTGGGATTCTTCAGTTGCAGAACCTAGACGCTGTCGACCGACTTGCTGTTAGGGAGTTCTTGCTCAATGAAAGACCCCGGGATGGAACACTTCAGCGTATCCGTCATTTGTGCCCGGATCGGCCCAGCGTCAAGCAGACCGTTTACCTGCTTCGGGGTATCTTGGTCAACCGCATCTTAATGATGACTCTGAAGAAGAGATGGAATGTTCAGTATGGGCTACATCCACTCCGAGACCCCATTGCGGTGCCTTACCACGCCAAAGGCGTCCCCAGCGAGCAGTCTGAGTGGGGACACCCAGACGTCGCCATCTTATTCACATGTCTGGCATTTTACTACGACGGCATCAGCGTCGCTCAACTGACCCAATCCCTTGAGCATCTTCTCAAGTGCGATGATCCAACCTCTGAATACGATAAGTGGGCTCGAAGCAGTGCAAGATTTCCTGAGCACCTCAAAGCCTGGAACTCGATCAATGTCGATGATGGTCAGCAACTTGGTGAGATATGGATAGCTCTGCGGTACAACATTGCGGCGATTGATTACTTCATGAATAACTTCGTTTTTCCTCAGCATGCGCAACAGTTCAGAGTCAAGCTCCAATCAAATGGTTGGGATATCCCTCTCTTCTCAGTGCATGACACCGATCAGTCGACGCAAGCAGAGCAAGCTGGACAGAGACAACCTACTTCGTCATCGGCCATGACAACCGGGTTCAGTGGCACAAACGACAATCGTACAATGCTTCCGCTCACCATCACACAGGACGATCTTCCTGGGCTTTCACATACCAATGCAGAAGTTCTCACATACCTATTGCACGACCGATCTCGAGAGTGCCACAGGGTTGTCGGACCCCGTGGGGCGCGCGCATCCGAGCCCGATCTATTGAGAGAGCTTCATCGTCGTGGCATCAGAATTTTGATCGATGCTGGCGCCCAGATACTGGAGATGGACAACGAGACCCTAGCTAAGCAGTGGTTAACGATCGACGAGAAAGCTGCCGCGGCCTTGTTCTTTGACCAAAGCAACATGCCGTGGATCATCCAGCGAAGTGGTAGAAAGACGCCGCTCCTCGCATCCCCTTACGCTGATGACCTCGGCGAATGCTTGGTGTATTTGGATGAGGTAATTCAAAGATTGCGCATTCTGGGATGGGGTTGCTGATCAGGACACAGGCTCATACGAGAGGTACAGACCTCAAGTTCCCTCCATCAGCACGGGGTGCGTTGACTCTGGGACTGAATCAAAGCAAAGACCATACAGTTCAAGGTGAGCAGCTAATACAGGACTACTTCAACGCAATGTCTCTCCTGAACATTGGACTTACAAGACCATTCACAGCTGCTATGCGATTGAGGCAACTGGGCACAACTCAATCCGTGACTTTCTTCGCTCCCCCAGAAGTATACCAGAGCATTGTTGATCTCCACTGCAAGCCGCATGGGGCCACTGTGAATTCCAGCGATGTGTAAGTCACGACTGGCCAAGTCCAATGATGTGGCTAACCCATTTTTTAGGATTTTCTGGCTCTTGGACAACACTTGCGATGGTATTGAGCAGTTACAGTCACTTTACTATTCCCAGGGCATGGACTTCTGTCGCCGAATGCAGGCTGCGATTGACAACCCAGATTTTGTCAAAGATAAGCACCAGCGGGAAAACTATCTTGGGACGATCAAGCAAGACGAGCAACACAGTCTTCAGAAGCTCTACGAGCCGAAACGAAAGATCAAGGGAACTGGAAAATTCCAGGCTGGATCAGACGCGAAGATCAGGGCCTTTGTTAAGGAACTGAACAAGAGGCGCAAGGCATTCCAAGACACTGGTCGGGCTGTCCATGCATCCGCTCTCCAGGAAGTTGAACAAGAACGAGAAGTGGCCTTCGAGGTTGAAACAGTTCGTCAAGTCAAGAAGCCGTATCATTATCCAGCCTTGGCTTTCCCTGGGCTGCACCCAGAAGTCGAGTCCTTCGCCACGACAGGAAGAATACCCGCTGGCGCCCACACCTTTGTCCCTGCCATCAAATCCTTGTCTAAGACTGCGATAGGCAAGAAGTTCAAGGTTTCGGACCGACCCTCGCGTTCCAATCTCTACGTTACAACAGAATTTGAGCGGACAGTCAAGCTAAACTTCGACCTGACGAGCAACAATTTCCTGGTAAGTCACAACCTTTTTTGGAAATTTCTGTACTATCACGGGCCACTGCTAACAAATGGCTAGCGCAATGTGAACTGGATACTATGGAGCCGTAAGACCGAAGTGGCCTTGATCGTTATACCGGAAGAGGCGGAAATACTCTTGTCCATTCTCAAGGATCCAGCCTTTCACTGCGCGACAAACTTGATTACCTACGCGGCGCCAGTTACCCGGAAGATGCTCCATTTCAGCGACCTCAACTTTTTCAGTGTCCCTTCACTCCCTCTTGGTTGGAAGGCCCCAGATTGGCTGAAGATCGAGCTGGGAATCTACGGCGGCCGGCTATATTTTGAGTGGGCCGAGTACGACCAGCTCTGCGAGTTTCTGGGCATCGATCAGTCACTGCCGTTGTTAGAGTATCTCGATCAGGAGGGTTCAGACAGCGACTCTGCCGATACGCAGAGCGGCGAAAAGCACAAGGTGCATGTGTCGGCTAACGGCCTTACTGCGCGGCCCCTGTCTTTTGTGCAAGAGTGGCTTGCTGCGCGCCGTCGCGGTCAAGACTTCATGTCGACCCCAATGGGTTTCATTGCGCAGGGCAAGACTCTTCAGGAGGATCACCCATTCTTCCGACAAGTCGTCATCGAGAATCGAGACAAGCTGTTTGCTCCTATTCAAAGCAAGGGGGATGACGAAGAGGACAACGGCGATCATCACGTTGACCTATTTGCTGTGGATGGCATGAGTGCCAATGAAGAGGATGATAGCGATGCACACGAGGACGAGATTAAGTACAACGATTCGGAGATTGGAAGCGAAGTCGAGGAGGACTGATTGGACTGATTGGTCACATCTGAGCTGATGATGCTGATCCGTTGTTGGGTTTCGAGAGGTTTGTTAGTATCGGATTAGAAGTCTAATTCGACCGTAGCATACGGCTAACTGCGCAGGGGCTAATTAGGGGCCCTATTTATAATTATTATAGCTAGCCTAACCTATAGTTAGAACCTCTTTTTTATACTTATATAAATATTTATATAATTTAATTAATCTCTTTATTAACTTATAGTTCGAACTAACTACCTTATAATAAGGATACTAATACTAATTAGTAATTAAATTTTATTATTATAAATCGGTAAGGTATTTTATTATATAAAAAAGACGACTTTTTAATATTATATAAAATAAGAGATTTATATTAATTAACTTTATAAAAGTAAATAAAAAAGAAATAATTCTCGAATACTATATAAAATTAAGTAATTATAGTTTTTTATTACTTACGAGAGGTCAATATTTATTACGTTAAATTACGTTAATTAATAAAACTACTTAAATAACTAGTCTTTTACCGTTATTTTAAATAGCTTTTTTATTAAATAACTTTTTTATAACTAGCCTATAATTAGAAATTAACTAGTTAAATTAGTAAAAAAAAATACTTACGTAATAACTATTTACTTAATTAATTAGTACGATAAACGAGCTTAATAATATAATATAAAAAAATATTATATAAATAAGGAAAAAGAACTCTAAATATAAATATTCTTATTTAGTAATAAAAGTAACTTTATAAGAGTTATATAGCTAAGAGATTTATAGTATATAAAAAGGTCTATTATTATAAGGATTTTATAAATATAATTATAAACTCGTAATTTAAATAACCTTTTTATAACCTTTTTAATTACTCCCTAGGTATTATTTAAGAATATAATATAAAAAATAGTTTAATAAAAAAAGAGGGGATTTAAAAGTTTTAATAATATCGAGCTAAGAATATTATAAATTTTAAAAATTAATTTAGGAAAAAAGCGGCTATTTTAAAGTAGTCCTACGACCTCCCGCTATAATTATTATTAACTTAAGAAAAAGCTAAGAAAACGAGGATTTAAGGGGAAAAAAAGAATTTTTTAGAGGGCTACTAAAGAGCTTTTTTTTTATATTAGCTCTTAGTATAAAATTATTAATTTTAAAAAATTAATTAAATAATAAAAAGAATTATTAATAAGCGATAATTACTTAATAATAATTAAGTTATAAAAAAGAGTACTTAAGAAATATAAAATAGGGTACTAAGAAGTAGTTAAAAAAAAGATTTTTAAAGTAATTAGCCCTATTTAGTATAAGTAGTGAGTAATATTTTTAATAAGTCCTTTAAACCCGTAATTTTATAAAAAAAAGGGCTTAATTTTACTAACTATACCTAACTACCTATTTAGTTCTTAATAACCTATTTAGCTCCTTTACGAACTACCTAGCGTCTATTTTTAACTATTTTTTTAAAATATTACCCTAAAAAAGGTAGGTTAAAGAAGGAAATAATTTAGAGATTATAAAAAATACGAGGCTTAGGAAATTAAAAATATATAAAATAGCGGAAATTAATAACTAATAAAAATCCCGAAACTAATTATTATATTTTTTTATAGTAATATAAACGTTTATTACTATTATTAAAAAGGGAATTATTAAAACTTACTTTTTTATATTAAATAAAAAAGAGGATTTTAATAAGTATAATAGCTAGCGATTTAAAAAAGTAATAATAATTATTAAAAATAATAAAAACGAGAATAATAGCGAGATAGTAAAAAAAAATAGGAATTATTTAAACTTTAATAAATTCGTTAAGTAGCGAAAGTACGGATTTACTATAGCTAATATATAAATTAAATATATTTTTATTAAAATTAAATACGCTAGTAACTATTAATATAAATATAAGCTAGAGTACGACCCTTAGTAAGTTAGGGTAAAAAAAAAAAGAAAAAAACCTAATTTTAAATAAAATCCTAATCCTTTATAAGTAAATAAATATTAACTTAAATTATTAAAGAACGTAAATATATAGGATTGCGAATTAGCTTAATAATAAGTAAATTAATATAGTATTAATTTATTTAACTAAGGTTTATAAGAAAAAGGGGTTATAGGGGTAACCCCTATTTTATAAAATTATAAACGATTTTAGTTATTAACTAAATAAATAGTTTATAAGTATAAGTTTAAGAATTATAAAAATAGTTAGTAAATTCCTTTATAAGCGAGGAGTATTATTAATATAATTATAATTATAAAAACTATACAAAATCTTAGTAATAACGATTATAAAAAAGGAATTCGTATTATAAAACTAAGTATAAGTTAATAGAGCGTATAATCGCTTTAATAAATTTAAAAAAAAGGTAAACGACCTAGATTTCTTTTTTATAATTATTAATAATAATTTATTATTATAAAAAGATATATAGAAATAAAATATAGTACTAAAAGTATAATAATTAATAATTCTACCTATTTTAATCTATAGCTCGTTATTATTATTAATATAAAATTTAGTATTAATTAGCTAATAAAAAAAAAATAGACGACTTAAAATTACTAATAATATATAATAACATAGGGATTATATATAAATACTAAAAATATAATAATAAATACGAAGTAATTTATAAAGTTTAAAAAGATCTTTTTAAAAAAGAAATTATATTTTAAAAAGAAGTACGAGGTTTTATAAAAAACCCTAACGATATTTTATAATTACTATAAAAAGATTAGGATTAGGGAATACTAATATTATTTAATAATTAATATCGTATTTATAAATAAAGCTTTTAATTATTATTATAAAGTAATATATAATCTCGATTAAAATAACTTTTTTAGTATTATTAATATAATTTAAAGCTATTTCGAGACTTATAATAAGAATCTAGAGCTCCTATTTAAGTTATAAGTAATTTCTTTTACGTTTATAACTAAGATAATAAAAAGTAAATCGTAAATAAAAATCTTTAAAGAGCTTATTAATTAAATTAATAAGCTAATAAAAACCTAGCTAAATAAGGGGATTAATAAGTAAAAAGTTAAATATTTTTATACTATAGTTTAGCGTATATTAAAAATAAAAATAATTTTATACTAAGTATTTAAAAATTATAAAACGCTCTATTTAAAACTAAGATCTAGCTTTAATATTAAAATAAAAATACTATACTAAACCTATTTCTAAATATATAATAGCCCTTATTAATAATATTAAGTTAACTAGACGTATAATAAAAAAAGAAAAAAGACTAAGTATAATAATTATTAATAAAAAAGCCTAGATTTATTAAATAAGTAAAGATTTAATTTATAAATAGGGTAATAAAAAAAGTAATATTTTATTTATAAAAAGGATAGATATTAATTAAATAACTATTCTAAAAAAGAGCATATTAAATTATATAAATAATATAAAAAGTTAAGGGTAATAAATAGTAAAACTAACCCTCGTTAGTTTAGCTAATTTCTTATTATATATAAGGGTAGATTTAAGAATATAGAACTTAGTAATAATAGTTAAAATAGCGGCTTAGAATATTTATCCCCCCTAAGAAATTTAAAAAATAAAGAAAATCTCGCCCCCTATACTAACGAATTAGATTATAATAAAATTAATAATATTAATTATTTATTTTTCGTACTATTAGCTTCTAGAAAATATACGAGGCTAAATAAATAAAAAGTAATAAAAGCTCTTAATAAGTAGGCTTTTATTTATAAATAGTAAGAAAAGGTCTTTTAGATAATAGATATAGAGGTAAATAAAAAGACGAATTTAATAATATAAAATTCTATTTTTTTAATATTTAATAAGAAAATACTACTTTTATTAATATTAAAAAAAAAAAATACTAAGTAATTCTAAGGGTAATTAGAGGGGTCCTTTTTATATTACTTAAATTATTTAAATATAAAGCTTATATAAGTATTTTATATAAGTAAAAAGTACGGCCTAGATAATTTTTATAAAATTATCCTAAATACTAGGGTATTATAATAGTTAATAAAAAAAAAAGGTAATTCTAAGTATTATAAAAAATTGCGTTAATAATACTTAATATATTAATAATAGGTATTATAAAAATTAGCTTTAGCCTAGGTAAAGAAATCGTTACTCTAAGTATAATAGAAATAGAGATATATTTCGGAACAATAACTTTTTATATTTTACTTATTAATACCCTATTTCTTTTATATTTAAAAAATATATATTAACTAAGTATTATATTTAATAATATAAAAAATAAAATCTTTAGTAATAAGTATTTCGAAATAGTTAAACGATAATAGGGGTATATGTTTATAAAGCTTATTAATAATATAAAGTTAATTAATTACTTAATACAAAATAAGCTTAAATAACTATACTAAAGATTCGGGTACTTATTAGTTACGAGGCTATATAACTTCTTAAAGTAATTAGGTAATAATAATATTAAAATAGGGGTACTAAAGTAGTTAATAAAAGTATATTACTAATATTAAATAAATATATAGAGCCTATATAAATTTAAATTTAAATTACGTAATAAGCTTAACTTTAATTAAGAAATCGTTATTAATATTTTCTATTTAAATAGTCGACTGGTCCTATATATAATTAACGAGGCTATATTATTTTAAGTAAGGTAATTCTTTTAGGATCTATAAATAAAAATAGTATAAGTAACCCTATAAAAAAGCTAGATTAATATATACTAAGGACCGCTAAATAGTATTAAAACCGACGTTAATACGAGTTTTAAATTAATAAAATTTAAAAAAAATACGACGGCCTATAGTATATAGCTAAAAGTTATATTTATAAAAGCGTATTATAATATTAAAAAAGTAAAAAGGGTATATTAATAACTAAAAAGGGCGTTTAGAATTATTAAAGAAGAAAATCCCGATTTTATTAATAACGAATATTTCTAAATAGTACTTAAGTATTATAACGATATTATAGGGCTTAATAGGTTTATATTAATATTATTAATATTTAGAGTATATTTAAAAACGATTTTAGCTTTATTATTATTACTAAATATAAGCTAACGAGCCTAAGTAATTAAAAAAGTAATATAAATATTATATAAAATAAGTATAAAAAGGTAAGTTAACGAGGTAATTACTATATATAATAGGCCCGATATAGGGGCTAATTTAAATATATTCCTAAATTTAGATATACGAGTTTAATATAAAATTATTTAATAATAGGCTAAGCTATATAAATTAATTTTTATTAATAAGCGCTCTTACGTAGTTATAAAAAATTATAATTAGCTATTTAAAATATTAATTACCGTAATTAGATTATATTATATAGATCTAATTAAGGTAATTTATAGTTTATAAAAAAAAGAAAAGCTAGGGGAAACTATATAACTTATAATACAAATATAAGAAATTATCCTTAATAAAATCGTTATAATAGTACTAATAAATAATAAGAAAGAGGAAATTACTAAAAGGGTACTAATATTACTAGCGAAACGTTATAAAAGATTATAATAATAAGCCCTAACGTAGTAATTTATTATTAATAACAAGGTAATTAATACTTTTTATATAATAAAAAAGAAAGACGATTTCGAGCTAGTAGTTAAACTATATAAAAAAGGTATTATTATAATTATTAAAAAGTTATATAAGGGATTAGATCTTATTAAAATAGATACTTTACGTAATTAAGGGGTTTATTAATTTATTTACTATAACCCTAAGAAATATGAAATCTCTATATATTTAAATTATAAATAGTACGTAAAATTAAGGGAAAAGGAATACCCTAACTATATAAAAAATCTAAGTATATAATTTAGGGGTATAGTAACGTTAAAAAGGCGACGCTACTTATTTAATTACTTATAGTATAGTACTATAGTTAATAATTAATAATAGTACTAATAATACTATTATAAAAAAAGGGATATAAGATTTAGAGCTATAATATTACTTAGGCCTATACTTAATTAGTTATAGGGCTTATAAAAAAAATCCTAGCTTATTTATTAAAAGAAATAGTTAGTAAGTACTTAGAGAGGACGATTATTAAAGTGCTTAAACTACTATATAGGTTTATAAAATCGAGTACTTATTAATAGGCTATATACTACGATTTTTTTATTAATTAATTATTAATAATTATATTTACGTACGACCCGTATTTACTAGTTTTTAAATAAAAAAGCGAATAATTTTAAATTATTAAAATATAGACCGATAATATATTAAGCCTATTTAATATTAATTTTATAAAAAAGGAGGATAAAAAGCTTTAAAAAACGGGCTTTATAACGAAGCTAAAAAAGGTCTTTATAATAAATAACTTATTAATATTTAATAATAGGATTTTTATAATTAAAAAGGAAACCGTTATTTTTTAATAAAAGGGGTAGGGTAAGAAAATTACCCTTATTAACCCGAACGTAATTAATATTAAAAAGTAATATAAGGCTAAGTTTATATAAGGGATATATATTATAAGTATTTATTATAGCTAGCTTATTATAATAAGTATATTAATAAAAGTTAAGGCTATAAGTACTAAGTAAATAATATCGTAATTATAAATAGCTTCTTTAAAACTATATTTATAAGTTATAAAATAAGTAAAGCTATAGTAATTAATTATAATCTTATTAAAAAGGGTTTTTAATAAAAATAGTTAAAAATAATTATAAGATCTAATACTAAGTTAATTATTAAAGAAGTTATAAGAAGTCTATTTTTAAGCCCGGCTTAAGTTTATATTATATATAAATCTCGTTTTTAAATATATTTTTTATAATATTCTTATTTATTATTATTTAACTATTTACTAAATAGTTATCTATCCTACTTATTTATAATTATCCGTTTTACTTATTTATAAATATCCGTTTTTTATTTTATTATATAATCGTAGTTATATAACTTATTTATAGTTTTTTTATTTTAAAAAGAATTATTTTAAATCCGTATTTTTATATATATAGTATAGTAGCTATTATAGGTCTTATAAAGCGAGGCCCTAGCCTTATTATATATATTAAGTTATAATATTAGCTTCTTTTTTTAAAAGTTTAGTTTTCTAAACTTATAAATAGGTCGTTTATTTTTAAATTAGGGAATCGTTAAGTATTTTTTTAAAATATACTAATATAATATTAAGTCAAATTAAAAAATCGAAATTTTTAATAGCTACGTCTTATTATAAATTATTACATATTATTCGTTTTTTTAATAAAAGCGTAGAAATAATACTTTATTTAAATTATTATTTACGAGGGGTCCGTTACTTAGTTTTTTTTTTAATTTTAAGGTTTATAGAATATATTATTATTTAAATATTTTATATAATACTTTTACTAACGCTATTTATATTTATAAGTATTATGTTTTTATTTATTAAGTTTTAGCTAATTAAGTATAATTAGTTAGTTAGTAACGGAGTTTAATTATTTTAATTATAAAAAAAAAATAAAAAAGTTACGGTTTTAAAAAAGAGCTATGGAGTTATAAAAAAAAGCTACCCCCCGATAGAGTAATCCGCCAGGGCCGTACTATATATTACGTATTAAAGAAAACTAAGTATATTACGCTCTATACTTAATTATTAATTAAAACTCTTAACCTTCCCCCACTTCTAGCTATTTAAAGAGCGAGCTATACTTATTCTAACGTATATAAAACCTCTTAGTACTAGCTTGCGTAAATAGTTAGATCTCGTATTATATACTCTTTTTTATTAAAAGTTAAGGGGCCTTTTATATATTCCTTTATATCTATAATATAACCCGTATTAGAGGGATTTTTAACTTTATAAAGTATAATTTTTAAGCTAGCGTTAATATACCGAATTTTAACGTTCGTATTAACCTAGCTATTTATAGCGTTCGTACTATTACTTAGTTAAATTCCGTACTGTTAAAAAGTACTTTATTACTTTTTAAGCGTGCTTATATTAGTTATAATAGCTATAGTATTGAGCTAGCCGAGGGCGCCTAGCCCGAGAGGGGTAGACTTATTAATAAGTATTTTTAGAATAAGTTCTTATCGAGGTAGTATTTTAACTAACTAACCTCTTAACTAGTTATTTAACTAGCTATTTAAGTAGTAGTTTATATATTAATAAGTTTGTTTAGTAAATTTGTTTAGTAAATTTGTTTAGTTTAAATAGAGAGTAGCTTTAAGTAATATTAGAAGTAATAAGGATAAAAAGAACTTTTACGAGCTCTAGTATGAGTAATAAATATTAGCTTATTTAGCCCTTTTTTTAGAAACCTCTACGTTATTATTAAAATTTAGAACCTCTATAGTTAAGGAAGGCTATCTCTAATTATTACGGCCGATTATTATAGCTAATTATTATAGCTAACCTCTATTATTAACCTTTTTAATTAGCGCTATTACTAAAGAGGGTAGCTTACCTATCCCGAATTATATAGCGGTTTTTATATTAAAATTACTATATTACGTTAAGCGCGTATTTAGGATATATTATACGTATTATATAGTTAAAAAGTATACTATATCGTATAATTTCTTTTAAAAATATAATCCTATTAAGGTCGATCTTTTGCGCTTATAAAGCCGGAAAAAAACTACTATATAAAAAAAAGCTAAGGTTTATTAATAAGCCTAGGCTAAGTTAAATAAGTTATTATTTAAGTTAAAATATCTTCGTTTTTAAAAGCGAATAGTATTTAAAAAGAGTTAAATTATATTAGAAGAGTTTCCTAAGGGTTCTAAAAATACTTTTTTAATAGCCCGTAAAGTATAGGTTAATAGTACTCTTAGGATTATTAATTAGGATACTATAATAACTAAAAGTTATAATTTTAATTTTAATTTTAATACTTTTTAAAAAATTATTAAAAATTCCGGAGGTTTATAATAAGTTCTTATATATTTTTTTTATATCCGTAGTTTTTTTATTTAATAAAATATTCTTTTTTATTATCTTTTATTTTATAATTAATAATTCGTTTAATTTTATATTTTAATTAGTTTAGTTTAATAATAATATAATTTTTCGTATATAAACCTCTTAGTATAAGCTCGAATAATAAGACGTAAAAGACGGGGTAGTATTATATTATATTTAGTAATTTTAATTTATAATTAATTAATAAGACTTTTTTAATAATTTCGAAAGGTTTAAGTTTTTTATAGTTTAATTTGTTATTTAGTTATTTTATTTTAATATTGCGGTAAAGGAAATAGGCGCTATTCCCCTTTTTTAAAAATAGTTTTTTAATTTTTAATTTATCTACGTTTTTTTTTATATACTATTATACGAACTCGAGGTTTAGTAAGGCTTACTTATAGATCTTTTTAAGTTTATTTACGTTTATTATAGTTTTTACGGCTTATAGTTTTTATTATACTTTTTTATATATTATTAATTAGAATTTATAATTAAAATAGAACGGGGATTCTTTTATACTTTTACTAATTATATTATTATATACGAACTAGGCTATTAATAAAAATACTACTTAATTATCCTAGTTATAGTTTATATAATAACGAAAGTATATTTTAAAAATCTAGTTAATCTTTTTTATTTATTTATCGGTTTGCGGATGAAATAATATTAATAGTTTATAGTTTATACTAAGTTACGAAATTAGAGATTTTTAAAACTTTAAAATAAATAGTTTATTTTTATTAAAAATAATTTTTTTTAGTAAACCGTAGTTTAAAAGTATAACCTTAATAAATATATATACTAGGTCTTTTATAGTACTTAATCTTTTATAAAGAATAAAATGCGCGAACTTAGTAAGTTAGTTAATTATAATTAAAATATTATTATATTATATTTTAATAAATAGTTCTTTAGATTTTAATAGTTTAATAATAAAGTCCTATATAATTAATTACTATATTTTTATTAATAATTATAATAATTATAGCTCGCTATAAAGTTTATATAGGCTATTTTTATTTTTTTTATAAGTTACGTAGTTTTTAATTATTTTTATAATTTTAATACGTATAGTAGATTTATTATAATATTAATAAATCCGTTTTTACGTTTTAATAACTTTTTAATAACCGTATACTAGTATATTATAAATTTTTATAATAAGCTCGGGGGTTATTTTTTTAATTAGGCTAGTATTAATCTTCTTAGTTATTATAAAAAGTTTTATAGTTAATATAAGGCTACTATCCTTTTTTTACTTAAGAATAACTTATATTTTTTTAAGGACTACGATTTTATAATTAGGTCTTTTATTAAGAGCGTTTACTCTACTATTTTTTAAACCTTTTTAATAAATTATTTAGAAATTATATTTAAATAAGAACTTACTCTATTTAACTTATTATTTATTTAAATTCTTATTTATTATAAAGTTTACGAGATTTTTATAGTTTATATAGACTATAACTTCGTACTTAGTTCTAAATAATTATAGTTTTTATTTTCGAAATATTTCGATACTTATTATTAGTTCTTTATTATAGATTTATTAATTTAATTTTACTCCGTAAAATGCTTTAGAATAGAAGTAATATAAGTAAAGTTTTTTTTATTCGTCTTATTATCCTAGGACCGCTTTTATAATAAAATTTAAAGTATTAGTTTCGATTTTAAAGGGTTTTTAGGGATCTAAAATTATAATAACTAGTTTAAAAACGACTATATTTTTAATTTTAATAAATATTCCTTTAACTTAGAATCCTAAATAAATAGGGTATTATTTTATATTAAGTTATTAAGAGGTTTAACTATATTAATATAGTCCTTAAGGAATTATTAATAAAAGTTAACGAATTTTAAAAATCTTTATATATCCTTAACGTTTTATAATATAAGCTAGTCCTTAACTATTTTTATTTTTAATATTTATATATAGATTTATCTTAATATAATAATATATTTAAAAAAGTTTATTTTTTATATATAGAACTCGTATTTAGAAAGTTTAGTATATAATTTAGTATTTTAAGGCTTTTAAAATACTATATAAATATATTTCTTATATATTTTAAAGTTAGGAGAGAAGATAAGAATATTATTAATATAAATAATAATAAAAGTATTAACGTACTCTTAGAGTACGTAGTTAATTATTATTTAAAAAGTTATTAAAGTATTAATAAGTTTAAAGGGTATAATAAGGTATTTAAAAAGTCCTTTATAAGTTCGGAATACCGTTTTTTATTTATTTTTTTTTAATTTAAATCTAATTAAATACTTTTTTAAAATTTATAATAATAAACTAGTTAGCTCCGTAAAATAGATTTCTAAGCTTAGTAATAAGTAATAAGGGATAGTAAGTTTTTTTTATAATTTCGTTAAGTTTTTTATAGTTAATAATAGGTCTTAATTTTCTACTCTTTTTTAATATAAAGAATAAGGGGAATTTAGTATTTTAAAGCTTTTAAAATACTATATAAATATATTTCTTATATATTTTAAAATTAGGGGAGAAGATAAAAATATTATTAATATAAATAATAATAAAAATATCGACGTACTCTTAGAGTACGTAGTTAATTATTATTTAAAAAGTTATTAAAGTATTAATAAGTTTAAAAGGTATAATAAGGTATTTAAAAAGTCCTTTATAAGTTCGGAATACCGTTTTTTATTTATTTATTTTTTTAATTCGAATCTAATTAAATACTTTTTTAAAATTTATAATAATAAACTAGTTAGCTCCGTAAAATAGATTTTTAAGCTTAGTAATAAGTAATAAGGGATAGTAATTTTTTTATATAATTTCGTTAAGTTTTTTATAGTTAATAATAGGTCTTAATTTTCTATTTTTTTTTAATATAAAGAATAAAGGGAATTTTATAAGAGAATTTAATAATTAAATATATCCTTTTTCGAGCTTTTTATTAATATATTTATTAAAGTATTCTTATTTTCTTTAGTTTATTAAGTATATTAAATAGAACCCGGGTTACGCTCTTTTTTTAAGTTCGATTTTTATATCCTAATTACTATGTTTTAATAATCCTATTTCTTTAGGTTTTATAAATAGTTTTATATATATTTAGTACTCTTTAAATATAATTTAAAGTTATTACGATCCTTAATCGTTAGTACTATATACGAACTTTTTAAAGCTTTTTACTATTTTAATAAAAGTTATATATTATATTTATTTTCGTTTTTTAAGAGTTATTAGAAATTTATTTAAACCCTTTTTTTTTTTAAGTCGTTTAGTAATTAGATTTTCTTAGAAAACCTAGCTAGTAATCTAATTTATCCGTAAGTTATGTTTTTATAATTACGAAATTCTTAGGATAATATTAATATTTCTAATCTCTATAATATCGTATTATAGTTATTCTTATTAATTATTAATATATATTAAGAGGTATATAGTCCCCTGATTAATAGATCTATAGTTATAGTTAACTTATTCTCTTTTTACTATTTATAGTTAATATAAAATATTTTTTTATACTTATAGTAAATTAAGTTTATTTATTATCCTTAGTAAAATATAAATTTTTTATATATTATTATTAATAATAGTATTTAGTCCTCGTTTATAAATATTAAAGTTAACTCGTAAATATACGTCGTTACGTTATTTAGTTATACATAAGAACTTTTGTTTTATTTTTACCTCTTGTTATTTTTTTATAATTAGCTTTTTTAGTTTTTTAATATACGCTTTTTTTATTAAACGCCTTACTTATATAGTTTTTATTATTTTTTTTATACCCTAGCTTTTTTAATATAGTAAACTTAATATTAGTTATGTTTATAATCTTTTTATTTTATATACTTATTATTAAGGTATTTTATAAAAAAGCTAGGGTTTAGACTAAATATTACTTTATCGTTATTATCAAAACTTAGTAACGTTTAGCTAAGTAGTTAGTTTTTTATGTAAATATTTTTAATAAGTTTATTATTATATTTTTATAGATAGAAATAGCTATTTTATTTATATACGAAGTATTAAAAGTATTTATTATTTAGGTATTTTATTTAAAACAATTCTTTATAAAAAGGGTCCGTAGGGTTAAGTAGAGAATAGTTTTTATTTATATAAGGGGTTATTATAACTTTTTTACGTTTTTTAGTCCTATAGAATTAAATAGTTTAGTTATTTTTAAATAAATAAATATATTTATACTATAGTTCTGTATTATTTTTTTTAGAGCTAGTATTATTAACGCTAGGTAATACTTTATAATCGATTTTTATTTAAGTATATTATTAAGTAATATTATAAAGTTCGTCCGAATCGTAAAGTAATTTTATTTTATTAAAATAAAAAGAGCTAGGTCCTATTTTAATATCTTCTTTTTTAAAATTAAAGTTAATTTTTCTTTTTTTTATAATTTTAAAATTAAGAATTAGTTTCTTAATTATTTCGATTTTATTTTTATATAAGAGGTTTTTAAACTACTCCTTAACTTTATAAATAAATTTTCTATTACCGTTTATTTTTTATATTATATAAATAGACTTAGTTAGGATTTTATTTAAATCGAGTCTTTTTTTAAACTTAGTAAATTATTTTTAGTTTATATAGTTTCGTCGTACTATATAAACAAAGTTACTTATAATTTCTTTAGTATTAGGTCCTCTTTTTTTAAATTTAAAGAGTTATTTTTTTATATTAACTAGGAGTCTTTATTTAATTCGATTTTTAAAAAAGTAAAGTATATTTTTTATAATAAGGTCTATTCTAGTTTTTTTTTTATATTTTTATAAATCTAAGAGAGCGTAGTAATATACTTAATATTATTTTTTTTAAAAGTATAGGGTTAGTAAGTAAGTATTTTTTTTTATTACTATTATTAAAGTTTTAATAAGAGGTAGTATAATATCGTATTTAAATCGTCATATATTTTTAAGTTACTTTAAATACTATCCTATTTATTTTTTACTATTTTAGTAAACGAGATAGTTATTATTATAATAGGCTATTTATAAGAGTTATTTATAAAGGACTTTTTTATTTATAATATTAGCTCGTTTTTCTAAAATAGGTTAGTATTAGATATGCTTAGTTTATTAGTAGTTTCTAGCTATATATCCTAGTTTATTATAGTTATAATATTTAAAATCTTTTTTTTATTATAGTTTTAGTATTTTTTATTAAAGTTAGCTTAAGGGCGTCGTACCTCTTTTTTTCTTTATATTATTTATATAGTTAAGTATCGATTTTAATAATAAGCTCGACGTACTATAAAAATTTTATTAGTATTTTTATTTTACTAAGTTCGTCTTTAACTTTATTTTTTAGTTTTTAATAAAACGAAAAGATATAGGTTTCCTTAGTAAAATTAAGTTATACTACGAGTTTCCTAAACTTAGTAGCATAGTACGAGGTAGATTTAATTTATTAAAAGTTAGCTAAGTCTTTTTTAACTTATTATTTTTTATTAAGGTCCTAAAATAGGGATTTAAGAGCGTTTTAGAATCCTATTATACTATTAAAAATATTTATAGTTTTTTTTTTATAATATAGTAAATAACCGTTATTATTAAAAAATTCTTTTTAAAAGGGTTTAAACTATTTTAAAGCTCGTTCCCTAAAAAAGGTTATTATATAAATAACTTATTTAATTTTATTATAAAAGTTAGTAATATAGAACGTTTAATAAGTTCTAATCTAAATTAAAAATCCCTTAAAATATTTAGTAATTTTATTAAAAGTAATAAGTATATTAAGTTTAAGTTTTTTTTATTTATCTATAAAAGTTTTAATAATATTAGTAGTAGCTTAAAGAGTTCTAATTTTTTATTTTAAATCGTTTACTTTTTTTTTTTTAATTTTTAAGTTAGTTATAGCTTTATTAATTATATTTTAAAGAGCGGCGATATTTTTATTATTTTTAATTAAAGTTATAGCTATTTAAGCGGAGTTATTATTAAAGAGTTTTACGAGTTTTTTATTTTACTTATTACTTTTTTTAATAGTGCGCTATATTTTTTTATAGTTTACTTTTTTAAGAACTACGTTATTATTAAAGTTATAAATAATATTAAGTATTTTATTATCCTTAACCCTAGTTAGCTTACTAACTAAGTTAATAAGTTATTTAAAGTTAGATAAAGGGGTACTTAAGGTTTTAAAAAATATCGTCGTTCGTTTTACTATTTAATAAGTTTCGTAAGGTTAATTTATTAAATAAGAGTAATTAAAGTATTATAACTAGTTTATTATAATAAGTATATTAATAAAAATTAAGGTTACGAATACTAAGTAAATAATATCGTAGTTATAAATAGCTTTTTTAAAACTATATTTATAAATTATAAAATAAATAAAGCTATAGTAATTAATTATAGTTTTATTAAAAAGGGTTCTTAATAAAAATAGTTAAAAATAATTATAAAATCTAATACTAAGTTAATTATTAAAAAAGTTATAAAAAGTCTATTTTTAAGCCCGGCTTAAGTTTATACTATATATAAGTTTTATTCTTAAATATATTTTTTATAATATTTTTATTTATTTTTATTTAATTATTTACTAAACAATCGTCCGTCTTATTTATTTATAATCGTCCGTTTTATTTATTTATAAGCGTCCGTTTTTTATTTTATTATATAATCGTAGTTACGTAACTTATTTATAGTTTTTCTATTTTAAAAAGAGTTATTCTAAGTTTATACTTTTATATATATAGTATAGTAACTACCGCAGGTCCTATAGGGCAAGGCCCTGGCCTTATTATATATATTAAGTCGTAATAATATTTACTAACCCGAGGCGACTTTTAATTATACTAAAGTAGCGTAGGTTATAAAATTAAATAAATAAAACGTCGAGGTACTTAATAAGTAGCTTAAGTAATAATAAACGAATTTCGATCGAGGCCTTATTTATTACTTAATTAACCTCGCTATTAATAAGCTCTATATCTTTATTAATAAGTTATTTATAAATAATAACGACCTTATTTCGTAATTAGGGTATATTATTATCTTAATTAATAAGAGTATAAATAAGAGCGAATTTATTATATATAGTAATATAGTTTATTATTTATTAACTAAAAATAAGTAAGTAATAAGAAGTATATTAGTATTAAAAGGCTATAATATAGTTAATAATATTAACCTCGTATATATAATTTTAATAAAGCTAAGGAGGATTACTAATTAACTTAACTTTTTACTAATCTTAATAATTATTTATATTAATTCTTATTTATTATATAAATACTTTATTAAATTAAGAATAATAAAAAAAAAGAGGCTTATAATTAATATTATAGCCCTTAGGTAATTATATAAAAAGCGTAAAATCCTCGAGATTTATTAGATTAATAATAACGATAACCTTATTAACGCTTTTATAAAAGTAATACTTAATAAGGGGTTAAAGTAATTCGTAAATAATAAAAAAATTAATATATAAATAGAGGGATAGGTTATATAAAAAAAATAAAAAAAAGGGGGAAAAAGAAACGACTTAGTAAACGAGCCCGAGGTCGAATTATATTTTTAATTATAATAAGTAAATTAATAAAAAAAAAAGAAAGTTAATATTAAATTAGAAATCTAATTTAACTACGGTATATAGCTAACTATATAGGGGCTAATTAAGGGCCCTATTTATAATTATTATAACTAGCTTAACTTATAATTAGAACTTTTTTTTTATACTTATATAAATATTTATATAATTTAATTAATCTCTTTATTAACTTACGGTTCGAACTAACTACCCTGTAATAGGGATACTAACAGTTAGTATGGGCCATGTTTGTGTGAGAATAGCTCGTTTACGGCCTGGAGTGCCTTTTGCTTATCAAATACCCCTTGCCTAATTGCTTAGATAGCTAAGGTAGCTAGTTAATCTCCCCTTTACTAAACCTGCAGCTCGTAATCTCCATTTTCTGTGAAAGCGAGGGAACTTGAGAGCAATCATTACCATGCGAACGGCCTCACTCCCGTTGCAAACACCTTATCGCTCGAGCTGATTATCGATAAGCTCGAACCGAAATGACGTTGACGATAACCCCCCGGGCTTATCCCAAACGGGGCAAAGTCGTAATTACCTTAGTGATTGACCGGGTCACGTTGATCACATGATGGACAGAATTATTACCTAAGCCCAGATTTTTTTCTAAGATTTGGCCCCTTTTTACCCCTGTCACGTCAAACGACCGCCGCCACGGCTACCCGAACGAACCGTTAAGTTTTGCCGCTGACTTTTGCTGCCTTTTGCATGATCCTGCCTCACTCTGCGCCCCTCGCGTCCCGCGTCCCGCGTCCGTCTCGTATGGTCCTGGATAAAGCGTTCGTTCGTTCTCTCATCTGATGGCTGGGGAGGGGGGGGGGAGGCAAAAAAAAGAGGGATTGATTACGGAACACATCTTTGAACGCGTATCCATACTTTCATGACCTTGCTTATCTGAAATTGCCCATTTCTCTTTCTGTAGTTCACAACTTGTTTCATCCTTCTTCCCCGTCTCATCCCCGATTGCCGTTCTGTCTGCTTTTTGTTGCGCATCCTTTAACGGAGTAATTACCTCGTAATCAATTCTTCCCCATTCATTCCCCCCTCGAACCTGAGGTTGCAGCTGGTCTGACCCTCCGTCCATCCCTCCCTTCCGAAGTCCCGTCCCGTGTTCGCGCGTTGGTGTGCGTGGCCCGCAGGCTGCAGCAAGTTCATGCAACTCAACCCACACTCATTCACCCTTTGGGTCGTGTTTCACTGAAGCAGCAATGAGACTCACTGTCTCAGAGTGTCATTCCACACAGCGTGCCTGATACCTGATACGTACCAATCACTTTACCTACCGTCCACCACATTCACCAGTACCTACACCCCTTCCGTACATAGCCTTGTGTACCATGACGGAATCTCACGATACTCAGACTGGCGGCAGCAACAACAACTACAGTGTCGCCGTAATGGACGCCGCCGTCGCGAAACCCTCTCACGGCGCCAGGCGGCACAAGCCCTCCGCCTCCTTGGGCTCCTTGTACGAAGTCCTCGCCGACCTCGACGACACCCAGCTCCAGTACCTCATCCAGGAGATGAACCATACTGGTCACCAAAATGTTCCCGTGTCCCAGGCCGTCTCGACGTTCGAGGCCCTGAAATCATCCTCCTCCCCCGCTGACCCCTTTGCCGTCTCCGAAACGGGTCTCTACGCGCCCGCGCCCGACTCGCCGGCTCGGGAACCTCTGCGTAATCTATCAAAGTCGCGTCGGGGAAGGCTCTCTCTGCAGACGGCCTTTCAGAGGGCCCCGTCATTGAAGCATAGGCAGCAGCAGCAGCAGCAGCAGCAGCAGCAGTCAAATTTGGACAGCCCTAGAGATGGCTACCTCAACCGCAGCAGCACCTTCTCCCAAGGCCCCGAACCAGCTCAGAGTCACCGGCCCGCCAAAGGGTACGGTGAATTGCTCTCAAGTCCCGTCAGCAGCTGCTCTTCGCCAGCCGGCGGCCCCGTTGTCATGAACGGGCTGCCCGAACTGGCAACGGTTACGCGGCCCACGCGGTACCATGAGATCGAGGCACCTCAACCCGCTAGCCAACCACTTCCATCACCACCGCCATCAGCATCATCATTTCTTGAACAGCAACCAACACCGCCACCGCCACCGCAGCCTCAAATTCAACAGCGTCGGCCGTCTACCAACGGAGCCCGAATGGGACCACCCGCTTACCACCGAATCCCTCGGCCAGACTTCAACCTTCCCGAAGGTGTCACGGTCACTGACCTTCTCCACCTACTCGAAATTGAGTACATGTCCTCGAATCGGCAGGCATCCTCTTCCTCGCGCAGGTCTTCCTCTTCCTCCACTTCATCGTCCATCTCCCGGCCTTCCTTTTCTTCGCCCTCGCCGTCGTCGCCGGCATTGGCCACTCGCCTCTTCCCCCCACCATCGAGATCATTCTCACAGACGCCAAATTTGCATGGTCGCTCCCCTCTGCGGAGGTCCTCTTCAAGGCTAGACCTTGCCCTTGGTGCAGAGCGGTCGGCTTCTGGTGCCGCCGAGATCGGAATGGGTATGCTCGAACCCAGACAGCTGAGATCAGTCTCGCTCGGTTTCCCGGGCGGTGGTATGGCCACCACCATGTCCATGGACTCATTGAGCCGGAGTCTGAAGGGCGAGACACGGCCTCCCGCGCCAGCGCCAGTCTTTGAAGGAATCTTTGACGTTTTGGAGAATCAGTAGTCTGCATCTAGGCTACAAATGGAGACAAGAAGGCAACTCAGGTGGCCGTTCGTTTCTTGCCGCGCCCGGATAGCCCGGTTTCAGCAGGTGTCGGCAGCAATGCTGTAGGCAGAGTGAGGGACGATGCAACAGGGCCATCGTGAAGTATTACAGAGGCAGCACAATGAAAGATGAGTCATGGTCCGCATGGCACGAGGTGGCTAGTCCGAGTTGCTTGGTCAACCCATAGCCCGCAAGCCGCTGTTCTCTCCCGGGGCCATTACTATGAGCCACCAGTATTGGTTCGTTTGATTTCATCTGCACGATACCAGCTGATCACGGCCAATGCTTTTTGGAGCACTGCCGAGTGAAGGATTTGAGAACCATGTAATAAGCAAGCGCTACGATACCCAGAATGTACTGAAAGAATAATACATCGGTCGCTAATGCGGACTTTCAAACGAGCCATGTCGAAACCAACTTGACTGTGACAAAACACCCATCGTGATTGTTGTGAGGATAGTGGGAATTCCTCTGGAATCCTTAGCGGAATTCATCCTCATCACCTCGACAACTCAGTCGCTGGCACATGGAGTCCAGACACGCTTGCATGCAGAATGAGCATGGGGCCCATATATAGCTCGCAGAAGTATCAGGCTGGTGTTGCAGGTGGCTAACGAGGAGGGATCGCTGACCAGGATCCATTAGCAGTCAGCCAGCAGACAAGTACGATGCCACATCAGAAGGCTGTGTGTGATCAACTTACTGTCTGCATCATCCCACCGGCGGAATAGTCCAGCGATCTGGTCCCGAATCCGGACTCTGGGGAGCCTTCTTGGTCGGACTGTCAAGACATTGAGCCGGTTCCTGTATTGGAGATTACCGTGTTTGACACTCGACGGAGCCCGCTTCCACCATTCATCGGTAGCGGGTCGCGGGACATGTTTCCCAGCCCGACGGGCAGCCCAGCGGGCTTTCAAGGATGCCCATCGGTAACGAAGCCAGTATTCACGAAGGAGTTGAGGATAATAGGTTCTCATCCACACCTCGTCCACATTCCCGGCATTCCGGTCGTTCTCTCCTTCGTATTGAATACGTAAGATGACTCGGTTATGCTCGCCAATATGGTGCCCCAGGACATTGATGACCTTTGCTGTTGATTTATTCCAAGGAAGGATCTCTTGGCGATCAAAGAGATCAAAGTAACTGGCCCAGGCGTCGGGATCACCAAGCTGAACCATGTATTCGGGTGCCCAAATGTCTCGCAATTCGCCATCTGAACTCTCGGGCTTCTCCTAAAGTGTTCGAAGCTGAAGTCTGGTTGCATCTTTGGGATCGAGTCTGTGGGCAGTGACTCCAAGGTGTTGCCACTTCCGTTGAGTTCCGTGGGACACAAGCTTTACTTCTCCTCCACTATCGAAGAGTGACGGCTTGAAGGCAAGTACCTGTTCGGGGACGTAGTTAATCGGCGGTTGCGTGTAAGTCGGTGGGTCTAGATGATGCATTGTCTCAGCACAACTTGACTATAATGAGAAAGGAGAGAAAGAGCGAATGATGGCATACATGTGAGAATCATTCCAATTTCTGGCTTCTCGAGGTTCATGTGCCACCCGTCCAGCGGTCTGTCACTAGAGTGCGCAAGACGTGTTAGCGAGAGGGGGTAACGTGCGGAAAGCCGGCAAGACTAAAAACAATGAACTCACACAATGCGGGGCACTCCAACAGCAGTGAGCAGACGATCGGTCATGGTGGTGATGAAGTCCATGGCCAATGCTGTAGTCGCCCGAAGACTTAGTTGGCTCGTGGACAAGGTCAGTCGCCAGTGTGAGTAATCGTGACGGGAGCCGTGGCTGTCTGGCCTGCAGTACTCGGACGGGCAACCGAAAATTGGGGAATTGAGCGACTGAAAGTAATGCCTGAAACGCGTTGCTTCTTATCCGGGTTAATCAATTGCTGAAGTGCCAAAAGAGATGCGTGTATTGAAGACATGTAGCTGTTGATGAATGATGCCGAACTGTTCTGCCTTGACGACGGAGGTTGTGGAAGAAGAACCAGGAAAAAGCGCGAGGAAAGGAGAAAAGAGGAACAGCCAGCGAATCGCACGGAAGAGAACCTCCAATCATCGAAACGTCAATCCAACGCACCTTCCCTTGTGCGCTGGAGAGTGGCCATGAGGTGGTTGCCCCAAAACACATGAGAGAAATGTGGTAAGAGCAACCCAGCACCTGCAGGCACATGTACTTTACTCAAGGTAAGTCCAACCTGGGGTGGCTACCGGTGTTCATTCCCACCACGCACCATCTCTTAATTTCGATTTCGTTGCCTGCCTGAGATACCTCACGCCTAACCTCGTCTTCGTCATAATTGTTGTTCTCCTTCTACTAGACTGTGAGGCGACGAAGCGTAGATGTAGCCGCCATCAAGTGAGGCTTCCGGCTTTTGTGTCAAGTATTGACCTCGCATTGCAGGGAAATGAATATCAGATATAGGTAGCTAACCTAGAAGCGTCTGCAAAAAGCAATTTGCGGTAGTCGTTGAAGAAAGTCACAGCGCCTCTTAGTTCATCTGAGCTCAGCGTGTTCCACTCTCCATTCTCCCCCACGTTGAGCCTAGGCAGTCTTTCATTGGGCTCATCTGATCTATCTGTCTCATTTTGCCAGTTTTGGGGCATCTCATGGACCTCTCGAAAATCGCTGGACCTGAGAGTGACACAACCACCACCATCTCATACCGACAGAGAATAGAATTTAGTGCAAATGGTCCATGTACTGACTTTTACCTTTCATGTGCCATTGCGTAGTGTAACACACAATTAGCGAGCTTCAAGCTGGCCAAATGACTGTTCTGCTGGCATGTATCAGCACATAAGGTACTGAGCTAACATCTCTGCCATCCACCATTGCTTGACTGCCCTTCTCCGTTTTCCTCATGATTCTGCGAAGCATAAGACTCTCGTTTTGTCCATTCACAACCTAGAAAGGACCGGAGATCCGACAAAGAGGATGAGCATCCCTGATCCTTGCTTGCGGCGAGGTATACACGGACGTAGTAGCCGTACTGTGTAGATTGGCTGCACCCTACGGTCTACCTCGCCTGCTAGCTTTATCAGGCCCATAACCAAACAGAGGAAACGTGGTACTTAATGTCCATGATGCATCTGAACCAGTAACTTTAAACGAGGTCTCGGAGCTGGCTACGTCTTGATTGAATTGGACAACGTTCTCATGGAAATCAATGGCTGTTCCTTTGAGGGTCGAATAGCCATCAGTAGCTTGGCGTGGCCGGCGTTCGGCCACTGATGTTCCAACACCGACCGCGTGACTTGGACATGTCTTGTTGGTGGCGCCAGCGGCGCAGGCCAAAAGAGGAAGCAAACAATTGAAATTGCCACTAACGAGCGCGATTCCAATCACGACCCAATCGTTGGTCGACGTAGGGGCTGGGCTTATCGAAGCGCCCTGACTTTGCAGAGACTGGCGTAAACTTCGCTCCTCCATCTCCAGACCCACGAAGTCATCGTGGCTGAGGACACGGTAATCTTCATCCATTACAACAACTTTCTTGCTCCTATTCGCAACCCTTTATTTAATACCCGTTAGACCAGCTGGCAATTCTGCGGGCTATTACAATCATTCTGTCGTAAGCGTCGTAAGCGTCAAGCTCTATTGTCCTGCCCTTCGATATCACCGCACCACGGGAAGAAGGAAACTTGCAGAAAACTTGCAATCGAATGTCGGTGTCACTGAAGATGCTCCAAACGCCTTCTTATTCTTTCTGCCCATCGAGAGTCTAATGCGTGATTCTAATCTGTATTTTAAAGGACGTGTCTAATAATTTCGGTGTACGATAAATTACAAATTCATGATGACCGCCGAAACGCCAACGATAGAACCTGTTCCTCTAGCACACATAACGAGTGTCTCCATGATTCCTAGGGAGCGCCAAAGGGAATTTGTCGCAGAAATGGACACAAAAGGCGAAATATTTCGCTCGGAATACCGTCGAGTCAAGCTTCTGATCGAGATGCTGGAGTTCCGAGCGGAAAAGAACAGGTCAATATATCGCGATGTACCAGCCAGACTCCGCGAAGCTCGACAAAAAAAGCGCACCATGAAGAGGATGATGATCGAGGCTCTCCGAAAGCACAAAGAGGATGTACGAACTGGAAAGGCAATTTCTGTAGACAAAGAACCTGTCGTGCCAACAAATTCGGCACCAGGAACTGGACAGACGCGGGAATGACGGTGCTCTCCAGGTTGGTTCGACAAGGTGTTGCATCAAGCTCAGTTCGAAAGTGTTAATATTATTCCATCGATCAACGTGGTCCCGTAGACTGGCTAAGTGTCAAGTCTCCTGTGGTAGCAGGCAAGTCCGACCTCAAAAGCCATATTGCGTATAGGTTGGTACGTTTAACGTACTTGGTTCGAGACAAGTAGAGACCATCAGTCCATACTGGTGTCATAGACAATGAGATCGGGGAAAGAAACATGGGTAAGTATGTGGCTCGTAATTTTACTTCGACCTCGCGAATAAGAGATCCTCTTTCGGAGCCGGAACGGCGGAACCATGATAAGCAATGTACTTATGTACTGATACTTGATAGATAGTTTCTTGTATTGCTTACGGTCTTGGGCCACAATGAAATGACTACATGTGTATGACATGTCAAACAGCACAGTGTAAAAACTCGCTCGTAACCCAGGATTGGAATATATCGGTGAGCGGGCCAGAATTCTTTCTTAGATAGTCTGCTCCTAAGCCTATTAGTTTCTATCACTACCATTGCTTTGACTCTTAAGGTCTCTTAGAGTTGATGTATTCCATACACGACATGCGTTCAAAAGTCCAGAAACCGAATCACATAATGACAATAGTAGTAAGAGGAAAGGTAGTCACTTATCCCGATAAGTAGCAAATCATTGAGTTGCAAACTGGCTTAGGTTCTAGCTTCTATAATGAATAGGGCTCCTTTTCCAAAGCCCTTCTTACAAGCGTGGGGAAACGATAACTTTACTAGGAAATTGACTTGGAGACTCTAGAGGAATGAGACAACTCAAGGACTGATGATGTTGCTGCTGACTCGGGTGACAAGAACATGTACCAACGTGAGTGCCGAAGTCTTGGGTGTCACCCCCGCCTTGTCCATCGTCATGCCTAAACTCAAAATTGGAGTACAGTGGATTTCCTGGGGTCCCCGCGAAACGGAAAATGTCACCCGCATGGGGGTTTCTCGGGGTTTCGGCAGAGTCGGAGAACAAGTGTGCCTCAAGTTCCTACCTAAGGTACGACTGATTGATGAAATCCGGGGCTTGATAAGAGCGAACCCGTCCGACCCAGAACTTCCTCCGAACCGTTCTCTTTCAAGCCCGCGTGTCTATGGAACCCTCAAGCTTCACTTCAACTACCTGAAAAGCTGCCATTAAGTCGTGACTCCAAATCCCTTCGCCTAGACAACATGGCTGAGCCAACGATTCTCATCATAGGTGGTGGGACATTCGGCACTTCCACGGCCTATCACCTCTCTCGAACCTACACAGACCCCAGTCGCGTGACTGTAGTCGACCGGTGGGCACCGTCTGGCTCTGAAGCAAACGAGGCCGCCGCAATAGACGTTAATCGAATTATCCAAACAAATTACGTGAGACCCCTTTATTGCAACCTTGCTAGCGAAGCTATCCATCCGTGGTTTTGGGATCTCAATCTCGGCCACTTCTTTCACAAAACCGGGTGCGTGACAGTCGATGAAGAGAATAATCAATTTTCCGAAGCCGTGCGAAAGACACTCAAGCAAAGAGGATCTGACTATACCACCGATGCCGATGTTGAAGATATCGGAAAGCGATGGAAGCCTCTCAAGGGACTAGAGACAAGTGGGCTGGGAACGGCATTCTTCAATCCAGAAGCTGGATGGTGCGACGCAGCACTGGCAACCCAAAGTTTAATGACCGCGGCGAAACGAAACGGAGTAAGAACGATCACTGGTGAAGTCGAGCGGCTGTTGCTTGATTCGTTTCTTGGACGAGTCCTTGGTGTAAGGATGAAAGACGGCCAGCAATTGAAGGCAGACCGAATCGTCTTGTCAGCGGGTGCTTGGACAAGTAGCTTGCTTGCGCCAATAGAAGCTAAGTTGCGTCTCGCACCTCACGACCGGATCGAGCGGCAGATCACAGCAGTTGGCAGGGTCTCGGCTTATTACAAGCTCTCGGCCGAAGAAACCGAACACATGTGCGAAGCCGGGATGCCTATCATCATCTATAAATCTTGCGGGATTCTCACTCCGCCGTCACGAGAAAACCGAATTATGAAGATCAATGACCTTTAGACCGAGTTTGTCAATCGGGTTACCATATCCGCAGGGCATGTTGTATCTATCCCAGCTGAGAGAGCACAGGACGATGTGCCACAGAAGTTGAAAGATGAAAGTCAGAAGCTCTTGAACACCATGATGCCTGACTTTGCGCAAGAAAAGAGCCCAGATCGATGGCGAATATGCTGGGATGCAAAAACTCCTACAGAAGACTGGTTGCTCTGCCGGCATCCGAATCCAAAGCTTGAAAACCTCTTTCTGGCCGTCGGAGGTAACTTTGACACATATAAGTACGTGTAACGTAAATCTTCATATCAAAGGGCAATGCCTTGGTTTAAAAGCCACAGGGCAGATCTGACTGACAGATCAAATTCAGGTTCCTCCCGGTTGCTGGCAAATACATGTGTCAGATCTTGCAAGGGAAGAACAACGGCGGGGAAAAGGACGCCGCCTGGGGCTGGAAAGACGAAGCCACCTTAATGAACGCCGAGAAGAAGGAACTAGGTCCTAAGTCAAGTACTCTGTCATTACCCGAGTTTCGATCGTTTGAAGAAGGAAACCGGTCATCCAAACTTTAGTCGGGTCCGGATGTGTCAGGTATGTCATAGGCCAGTATGAAGTAACCCATCAAAGGCCTTGTTATCCTGAAGATCTCACACAGAAATAGAATGCGGATGCATGCAAAATATGAGATGTGTTTGGCAAACAAAGCGAGCTAGTATCTGACCTGAAAACTATCTGGATGCTGCAAAAGGGGGGCATCACTAGCCTCGTATGGATATTTTCTTCCTGCCTGCCTGACTAACTCCGCATGCTCCTTACTGCGAGGTATGACTCTCACTTTGAAGGCCGTGGGATATGTCAAGATCCCCGGCTTCGGTCTCACATCGACCTCAATTTCCTCGCCATTTTTATCCAATGCCTTAGCGATCGTGAAAGCGGCGAGTGTTTGGGCCATGTTAATAAAGAGGCTTGAGTCGGCAAAGAAACGTCCAGGACATATCCTGCGGCCGTACCCAAAGACCTCTGTCGTGGGATCAGCTTCATTCCGTGGGGGGAGAAAGCGGTCAGGATCGAATGATTCTGGGTTGATGTAAACATCTGGGTCGTGAAGAAACCACCAAACAGCCGGGAGAACAAAGGCGTCTTTAGGAATTCGATACCCTTCGTACTCAAATTCTTCCGTCGTTGTATGAGGAAAGCTCATGGGAACAATGGGCCACCACCTGGCAGTCTCCTTGACCAAAGCATCCACATACGGCAGTTTGTCGCGGTCTTCGAAGGTCGGTAGGCGGCCAGAGCCAATCACCCGATCAATTTCCGCCTGTGCTTTGCGCTGAACGTCAGGGAACTCTAGCATGGCAAACGCAAAAGTGCTGAGAGTGATGACAGTCGTATCCGCAGCTGCACCGTAAAGACTCGCCGCTGACCAGATGACAGCCTTTTCATCTTCTTTACTCAACTCGCCGTTCTTTTCTTGAGCCAGCTGTTGGGATAGTTTCGAAACATAAGATGGTCTATTTGAGAAACAGGACAGCTGTTGTTGAACGAACTCGTACGGGATATAGGCCGACGCTTGAATTGATTTGCGCCATTCCCTAGCAGTCTTTTTGAAAGAGACACCCGGGAAACTTTCAGGAAGGTGTTGGAGGACAGGAATGATATCTACGAGCCAAGCCATGGGACTTGCGGCGAGAGAGAATTCAGTCATCATCTTTTCAATGAGCTCTATGAGCGCGTCCGATTTATGGGGCTCGATGGTGTAGCCATAAGCCATCTGGAGAACGGTGGCAGCGGCAGTACTGGCATTGAATTGACAATTAGCTATGGACATATTTGCTAGATCTTTGTCCATACTCACGTCTTGTAATGCTCTAGGAGACTCTCGGGTCTCTCCAGGGACCGTATCAATTGTCGGCCTACTTCGCACTCCTGAACGTTACGGAACTGCGACGCAGAGACCTTGGTACCGAGCTCTTGGTGAAGAAACTTGCGATACCGTCGAAACATGGGCGTATAGCCTTGACAAAGAACGATTGATTCGTAGCCGCAAAGCTTGTTGGCCATGACCATCGAGGGTCGACCTGACGTCTTACTTGCATTTTGGTCTAGCAATTCATGCGCCATGTTCTTGTCGTGGACGATGATGAGAGTCATCCCCATAACCGTTACCGAACTGATTGGTCCATACAAATCCTTATGCTTGAGCCAGTGTAGATGCTCCGGTGTGCCCTCAGGAGGGAAATCTCGGATGTTACCCAGCAAAGGGAGTGGCTTTGGCCCCGGAGGAAGTTTTCGTTGGTTCGGTGTCCGCCTGCGGCTGTAAATAACAAAGCTTGCCAAAGCGAGTATGCTCCAAAATAACCACAACATATTAGTCATATTGGCAAACAGTTGAAGGCCTCGGCCGAAACAATGTTAAGCTCTGTCTCGAGTTTATGTGAGGAGAGCTTGGAAAAAAACAGAAGATGTTTGTTTTTATCTGGAAGTATGTACGTATGAAGCAGGTCTAGTCTATTCGCTTACCTGTTAACTTGCTTCCTGCGCAAAGCCAGTGCGAAGGGAAACCTGAACATCATAATCAGAAGACATCTCTACGGATGCCATGGATCCGAGGCCGGGGTGGCTGCGTATTGCTAAACTGGAGGGATCTTGTCAATGATGCAAGGGTGACACTCAACATGTTGTTTCCAACGACGAATTCCGGAAGCCACTGTTGGTTTGGATGAATACAGGGTCCGACATCAATTACCAACATGAGTGCAGACGTGTGGCATCATCTGGGGTACGTTATTGGCTTGGCTGCAGTGTGGTGAGGTCCAGCCCCTTCCTTCACCTGCAGCCGGTGAGCAGCCGATCCAATGATGGAACGCGCATTGCTGAAGATACGGGAGAGCGGGCGTGGCGGAGATTGAGGTTGTCCGTCGTTTGGTGGTCATTTTCTCCAAACGGGGCATACCGCACACGGAGTAACGGGCAAAACAGGGCCAATTCATGAGAAGCAGACCGATCACCGAAATAAGTAGCTGTATAGTATGGAGTGGATCATTTGGACATATCCGGGTGGGGTGAGATGCCAGGGTAGTGCTGTTGGCTACCTATATCACAAGCTTTCAACTGCTTTCCGTGATATGATCTGACCAGACTGCTTTGGCACGCTTGCATTATGGCTCGCCAGATCGCTCCATGTAAGTCAACCCGAGATTATGATACTTACGTGTGGCTGCCCAAGAGGGAATTGACGTTTGGATGAGCACTTGCACATCGTCAGAAGCACTCATCCACATCTTGCGAAAGGCGGTTTTTTTTTGTAATTGTTCTGTAGACTGTAGTTGAGCCCTGGATGAATGCAAGATCAGACACTCTTCAGGTTGCAGAATCGCAGAGTTCGTCCGGTCAGTGCCCTTGCACCATCCCTGCTAGCTCCCCTGCGGCCGCTAAGGGGGAAGCGGGCCGGCCTGTGAAGACGTTGCAATGGGGTCCCGATGTAGCTGCAGAGTATGTGGCAGGCATCGCCCGGTGTGATGTGATAGACTCTGTCATTTGTCCTGCAGGAGTCCTAAACCGTATGGAATAAGACGGAGCGCCACTTGAAGAATCTCGCTGTAGACAAAAGGTCAAAAGCTGGCGCGGCCTGAAACTAGCCAAACTGGATTCCGCCCACATCTCGACCCAAAGAGGCTTTTATCCGCCTTCGCGGCCATTGAGTCGGCTGATTCCTCGGACTTATTTGGCAAGGTCGAATCTTCATGCAGCGTAGCAGCCATTTCTGCCACTTGATTCCTTACGCATGGCGTTCCGAATTGGACTTTGCTTCAAGTTCCTGCCTGTAATTAGCGCCCCGTCTCCTTCACGCTCGGCTACCTGGGTGATGTGGAATCCGAATTTTCAATCTCATTCGTGCCGAAGATGGAACCCTAGATCTTGGGAAGGGAGAGAGAAGCATCATTCTCTTGCGTAGCTCTGTTAAACCCTTCCTCCCTGCCTCCCTGATGAGCTGAATAAATTGTTTTTAGACTTCTTTGCTTTGCCTTACTCTCGACCCATCGTCAGGCTGGTATGAGGGTACCGCTATAGACGAGTAGCCATGGGAAAGCTTCCAACCGAAGAGGACATCGCCTGGATGGTGGCACATATCAACGACTCGACGGTTCCCGACATCGTTGTTTGCTGCATCATCTGCAGTCTCGCCTCTGTCGTGATCCTGGCTCTACGCATCTGGGCGAGATCTCAAGCCGGACTCAAGCCCATTTTCAGTGACTGGCTGATCGTTGGTTCGGTGGTAATGCTATTTTTCCAGCAAGATGCAAGGTCCATCGCGCTTACGATAGCCAATAGTTCTTCTACGTCGTCTTCTGCACAGTTTTTGCTTTATCAACAAGGTATGGAGCTGGCAGACACATCATCCTCATAACGGATCCGGAGACGATGCGCATGTTGGCTATCGTAAGTTGGTCTCTTTTGTACTCCAAGTCCAAGACCTCTGATGACCAATGTCGACGCAAAGCTGATTCTTCGTACTACCTTACAGCTCAATATTTGCAATCCGATTCTATACGGCGTTTCCAGCGTCCTTGTCAAATGGAGCATCCTCGCATTATACCTTGCAATCTTTCCCCAAAGAAAGTTCCACTACTGGGTTCATTTCGTGAGCACCGTCAACTTGCTAAATGGACTCGCCATAGTTCTCGTGAGCTGCCTGCAATGCCGTCCCCTAGAGGCCTTATGGAATACATCAGTGGTGGGCACTTGCATCAACTTCAGTTATTTCAGCATCTTTAACAGTGTCTTCAACTTTTTATTGGACGTGGTCATCCTTCTGACCCCCCTACCGCTCGTCAAACAACTCAACTCGTCGACACGAAAGAAGATCTTACTGTCTATCAACTTTGCTTTAGGCGGAAGGTAGCACCAAGCCGGTTCAAGTTTCGGCGTCGTCTGACAGTGCTAATAATCTAACATAGTGCTTGCATCATCGCAGCTATCCGCGTTCCTTACGCAAGACGAGTGGGAGGCACGGTGAACCCAAGCTGTAAGGGCCGTTCTTATAATACTGTTCTCCAAGCCGCGAACCAGAAATGCTGACCGAACTTATTGCCTCTAGGGGACATGATACCGGGAGGACTACTCTGCGTTGTCGAAGTTGCCGTTGCCCTCTTGACAGCCTCTCTACCTATATACCGTCCACTGTTGAGGTTCTTAGGCATCACCATTACATCGAATTCCGCATCCAACTACAAACGAGGTAATTTACGCAGTTCGAATAACTTCTTGGGTAGCCAAGTGAGCACACACATCACAAGTGGCAGAGACATGTCGTCTCAGCAAGCAGGTATCAGTATCACAGACGATATAACGTTGACGACACATACATATGTAGGAGGAGAGTGGGTTCGTGTGGCAGACGAAGATGATGATGCTGCTGGTTTGGTTGTGCCAAATGGATCAGCGCCGTACGCACGAACCGTCAGCAGCACAATGAGTGATAAGCTTTATTGAAAAGTAGGCGCTTGTGCTCCAAAATAACCGTCCTCGACATAGAATTGAAGTAGTGTATCAACTCAGATACTATGCACAAATACGAGCGCTGCCATACATTGACTGTTTGGCCAGTCGTGACTACTGATAGACAGCTCCGTGAAGCTTGGGGCTCAATATCATAGCAGATTGGATATATTCTCTCAACGCCAGTGAAGCGCAGTTGCGGGTTTCTCTGACCGTTTCAAAGAGAAAACCCGACCCATCTCATCTAGACGCCTCTCATTCTCATGGCCGCTTTGAATATTTTCGCAAAGTCGGCCATATGTTCCTTGTTGAGCATTTTTGCATGAAAGCCCGGGCAATTGTGGAACTCTGCTCCTGTCCGCGTGAAGTCCACCCAGCGTTCAAGCTTGTTTTTCCTCCAGTCTTGTCGGTCATGAGCCGCGTAAGACGGCGGGTCCGCTACAAACACGTCTAGATTATTGACGTTGCCTTCAGGTTCATAGCTTTGTACATTGACACGGAAGTTCTCGGCAATGTCTGAGATCAACGCAAGCCTTTCAATGTCAATGGCGAGAGCACTGGCACGTTCAGCATCGCCGACTCCGAGGACGTGAGACAGCGCTTCGTCGCGGTTGAGTGTGTGCAAGTGGGGAGTGATGTCCTTCATGGTCTCCTCATCAACGAGCTCCAGGAAAAATGCAATGTGTAAAAGAACATCAATCCAATCCAAGCCGCGCACGTAATGCGCAATGTGTGGCGGGTAGTCGATACTAGCCAGGAACCTTACTTCTCGACCCTGCTTTTCGAGCACCTTTGCCACCTCGAAGGCGAGCGTGGAACCAAGTGAGTAGCCTGCAATGGCATAGGGTCCCTGCGGCTGTGCCTTGCAGATCCCTGCTGCGTAACGTTCCGCAGTCTCCTCGATAGAAGAGAAGAAGGATTCCCCAGGATTGTAACCCCGACTTCTGAGGGCATACACGGGACGGGTCGGGAAGTGTGCTGCAAGAGCAATGAACACGAGGATGTCTCCGCTGCCGGGATGGATACAAAACAAGGGTGTGCTAGAACCATTCTGCTGCAATGGCACAATCGGGGTGTAAACGATTGGATGCGATACGAGCCGGTCAATGGCGGATGCGATAGCGACGACGGTTGGCCTGAGCCGAGTCAAGGATTAGCAACTGTGCCTCGGCCAGACAGGAGTATGTAAGATAAGAAGGGTTCATAATAGAGGCTAGAAGAGCGTCACTTACTCTGTCAGCAAGACTGACATGGGGATGTCAACCTGGCCGCCAATCGCCCCCTGTATTCTGGATTTCAGAAGGATGAGATGCATCGAGTCGACGCCGTGGTCGAAGATGGACGTCTCCACGTCAATCTCCACAACAGGCATCTTCAAAAGGTCGGCTAATATGCCCTGCACAACCTTCTCGCTGTCAGTCTCGGCGCCCCGCCTTTTGTGCTGTCTGTCTTGGTCGAGGAGCTGTTGGTCTTCGCACTCAATCGGTCCGAATTGACCACTCTCGAGTGCAGCGCGGATTTTGGAGCGCGAGATCTTGCCTAGTGATGACTTTTCAATCATTGATTGGGGTAAGGGCACTATTCGTGCTGGCTTTTTGCCCGTTGTTAAGGAAATCACCCTTGTGATTGCCCTTACCGTCTCAGAGCGCGCACGGAGATCTTCGTCACGGAATCGCGGGGAGTAGGCGATGGCGATACTCTCAGTCGGTGACCCAGCCTTCCGGGTCGGGAAACAAACCGTGAAAGATGGAGTCATCCCTGGAATCCTCTCATCATCGAGTGCGCTTTCCAGCTCGGTTGCACTCCACTTAACGCCATTGACGATGATGGAGTCCTTGATACGGCCAGCCAAATGAAGATTGCTGGCATCATCAATCCATGCCAGGTCTCCCGTAATGAACCAGCCGTCTGAACTAAAAGAATCTTTCGTCGCTTTTTCGTCGTTGAAGTAGTGGCTAAATACCATTTTTCCAATGACCTGAAGCTGGCCGGTGTGGCCTTTGGGAGCTTCATCCTGGGGATCATGGAGGCTCATGACGCGCATTTTCATCCCTGGTATGCACGAACCCAGACTCGCGAATTCAACAGATCGCTCGATGTCGTATGAGGGGCAATGTATGGAATAGATGGAACCAGCGCATGTTTCCGTCATTCCAAATCCTGGGCGTATTACCTCACCCTTGCAGCCAAGACGGCGTAGTTCTCGCGTAAGCTCATGGCAAGTTGATGTAGGATTTGACTCGCCGCCTGATATCAGAGCCCTCAGATTGTAAAGATTTGCTGTACAAACTGGACTCAGAACCAGAGCGTCCAGAACCATGGCCAAGAAGAAGTTGGGCGCAAAGGTGTAAGTGACATTGTATGTGTCCAGAAGTCGAATAAATTGCATTGGGTCTTGAATGAGAGGCGGCGCAGGAACATGAATTTGACTGGCTCCAAGGCTCACTAGAAAGCTTGATTTAGTTCCTTGGCTGGCCAGACATCGGAAAGATTCAGCTGCAACTGGAGGGGCTCAGAGGTATTACTCACTTGCATGAAGATGGATTTCTACTAGACTTGCGACATGATCTAATCCGACCCAATTGAGAAAGATGTCGGCAGTTGTGGTCCTGTGATGTGCGCTTTTTCCAGTGACGGCATCGAGGACTTGGCCATGGCGGAGTGGAACTGCCTTGACATTGCCTGTGCTCCCGGATGTCAACATTAGCGCCGCGATGCTGCCGGCGTCTGCTTTTTGTCCGGCATCCTGACTCGCAAACTTCTCAACGCAATCAACGTATCGAAGGTCCTCGACAGTTCTAACTTTCAATTCGCACAGATCAAGAAACTCAGCTGCAAGTTTGTTGGTGGTGATTATGGTCGGCTCTTTCAGTAGGCCGTGCAGGTGGTGTAGATGCTTTTTGCGCTGCCCAATGTTATTGACCAGCGGAAGTGACATACATGGCAGAAATCCTGCCAACGTCGCCGCCCAGAACCAGACAATGCTGTCACGCTGTGAATCGAAGTGTGTCAACAAGACCGACTCCGGCGACTGAGCTTGGATGCTGTGGTTGATCAATCTTGCCTTATCGCGTGCCTCGGACAAGAGTTCGCGGTAGGATAGGGTGGAAAGACCGGGTTCCGCAACATTTTCAGAGTAAAAGTAGAGATGACCTTTTGTCTCTGCCGCTCTTTTGAGTAGCTGGGATAAGGTTCGGACAGATCCAGGAGCTTGAACAGAAGCCATCGAAGCTGGAAAGGCTCGGAGTATAGCAAGCGACGGTATCTTTGGCTGGGGACCAACCTCGACGTAGAGGCCTATTTGTATGCGTTGTACTGAATTGAGAAGCGAGGAATGTTGATTAACGGCAATGACAAAAACCAGATTTCAATGCTCCCACAGATACTGTAAGCTAGCACGGAATCATGATTTGGGTGAGATTTCAGGGAACTAGGGTAAGGAGCAAACAGACATGAAATCATGCCTGCATGAGCCAAGCTGCACTTTTCCGCTGCTCAAAGGAACAAACACAATGATTTAACAGTTCACCCCTTCGTGCGCAGGATTTGTTTGCTATCTAGGTTCCATTTTACTCGGCAAATTGACCCTTTTTGGGGGGAAACACTGAGCTGTGTGCAGCGTGGAAAGGGGCGTTCAAATGCATTGGCCGAACTCGCCCCATTTCCAGGTTGAGCCCAGCCAGACAGGCGCGTGGAACACAGCATAGCAAGTTGACTTTTCCGCCGTTTCCGACACTTTCCTAGTATCCAGCGGCAGCCCTGTCTCCGTGGCCCCTCTATCGACTGCAGAACAAAGTGCATGAAGATTGTGGCAGTGTTCCTCGTCTTCTCCACGCTTGCGTACCTGCGCGGTGCGGATGCCTGGCGCTGTGACACTCGCATGCGTCTTTGTGGCTAGATAGAATGTAGATTGGTCGCATCAATTTTAGCGTTCTTCACACCATAGCAGCCGATGGAATCCTTCTGGATATGTCATTTTTTGATCAGCCCAGACGTGTCCAAAGTATAAGTTCATGTGGTGTGAGGGTGGCTTACAATCAACCCGTCCAGGTAGCCGACGAAGCATTATCAGCTGGATCGCAACCCTTGCAATACTCGCGGCCAAAGTAGGTACTAAGTGTATCTTAGAAGAAAAGGATTTCTTACATTCTTATCCTGGGAAGGCACGGAAGTCGAGGCAAGGGTCAGGTCGACAAGAACCGCTATGGTGAGGAAGATATAGTAAATACCGAACAGCGCACTATGTATTGAATTGAGTCAATGACTTAAGCAGGTTTCTGATATTAAATAGCAAGACTGATAGAAAAGTTTTTGCACACGTAAAGCCAGAAGCCTAGTCGAGATACAATGCGTGGCCTTTTGTAGCCGCAAATCTACCAGCAGTGTGTATCTGAACATTTTTAGACCAAGTGGTCCCATATTAGCCTTTTAGGGTCACAGCAGGAAAGACGCCAATCCTCGGTGTAACACTCACTGCAGCTGAACTTATAGCAATAACTCAATAGCCCTGCTCATGTTGTTGGGCGTTCCGTAAGCACAGAGAATTGCTGGATAATTATGAATACCTATGTCATCGTTGAGCCTAGAGCACGATCTTTTGTGCGGAAAGATATTTACACTTGGCTCTTATTTTGTTCAATGAAAACTTTTGTTGACACGAGGTCCGCAGACTCTACACAATCGCGTGAATCTTATATGACAACAAGTAGCGGCTGCTTTATACTCTCATCTACCTAGGCTCATCGTTTACCGACGTCCCTTCTTTCACAACCTGTATCCCAGATACCCAGTCAAACTCGTCAAACGCGATATGATCAAGTTTGTTTCGTTCTAGAAAAGCTGAACGACATGGGTTACATGCCCTTTTATGAGCAGTCGGGTTAATACCATCTTGGCGCGGTTACGATGCCACGTCACTTTGACAGGTGCCAAGAAGCTTCTCAAGATATCGTTTCGCTGAGGGAGCAATATGAAAGGAGTTATGATATGCTTCATGGTACCGACGGCGGTCTTGGTTGGTGGCTTCAAGTCGTTTATGGATGGGCAGCTTGGCGATCTCCTGGATCCAGATAGTAATTAGTAAACATTCAACACGAAGTAGATTTTCATACCCCTCACATACTTCGTATGCCACGTATAATTCACTCTTTCTTTCACACCTTCACGATTGTGGCCCTCTCCTTCTCCACCTCATTGAATCACTAGACCCCGAGTCAAGACCTGTAACCCATGCGTTGAGACACGTCATTGCTAGATACACAACTTCATGGCTTCCCGTCTCATGTGTTCTCTTCCTGCCAGCTCTTCCATAACTCCTAATAGAATCTAGACCTGCGACGTTTGGACGGCCTGGCGATGATATGTTTCCGGTTATGAAAATGGATCATTACCGATATTTTCGCTGTAAGCTGATGAATAGAATGGGTAGAAAGCTAAATGATCGTCGAACTCCTTCTCGTATTGGCTTCCGAGATATCTAATGCTCGAAGCTCTCGTGGCTTGATCCACAGTATTCAATATAATCTTTACTTGAACGTATTGCTACTCTGAATGACCGATGAAGCCGGTAGAGCTTTCGTGCTACAACTTTGAACGTCTGGCTAGATTGACGTGAATCGCCTTAATGTTCGAGTAAGCAGCCAGTCCAGCCTCTCCCAGTTCTCTGCCGATCCCACTCTGTTTGACCCCACCGAATGGAATTCGCCAATCACTATCATTACTCGAGTTAATCCATACCATGCCTGCTTCGATTCTCTTTGCAACAGTATGGGCGCGGGCAAGGTCTGTGGAGAACAGAGCGCTTCCAAGACCGTACTCGGAATCATTGGCCAGGGCGATAGCCTCCTCCTCGGAACGGAAACGACATATGACGACAAAGGGACCAAATACTTCCTCTTTGAAGATCCTCATCTGAGGCGTGACCTCAGTAAAGACCGTGGGCTCGATAAAATAACCAGGGGCGTTAGCTTGGTGAGGCTGGCCTCCAAGCTCGAGCCGTGCGCCCTCCTTCTTGCCGATGTCGACGTAGGAGAGGATTCTATCGTACTGTGCCTTGGTGACTTGTGGTCCCTGAAAGGTGCTCTCTTCAAAAGGATCTCCGACCTTGGAGATCTTCATGACCTGATGTCGGAAAGCTGCCAGGAACTTGTCATAGACAGTGTCCTGCACTAGAATCCTCGAGGTCGCGGTACAGATCTGGCCTTGATTCGACATAATGCCAGCGTGAGCCCAGTGGACAGCCAAGTCCATGTCAGCGTCATCAAACACAATTAGTGGACTCTTGCCACCCGTCTCAAGCGTAATGTTCTTCAAGTTATTACTCGCCATCTTCATGATTCGTTTCGCCGTCTCGGTAGACCCTGTGAATGCAATCTTATCAACATCCATGTGGGATGCAAGAGCTGCGCCTGCGACAGCTCCAGAGCCATTGACGATATTGACCACACCAGGTGGAAATCCTGCCTCTACTACGAGATTTGCGAAATACAAGATGGATAGCGGTGTTTGCTCCGCCGGCTTGAGGACGACAGTGTTACCACAAGCCAAGGCGGGGCCGAGCTTCCAGGCAGCCATTGCCAGGGGATAATTCCAACTGTAGTCGTTGGAATTTGTTATTGAAGTTCTTGGTGTAGAGAAGCAAAAGTAAGAATGAGGGAGTTGGTGCGTCTTACGGGATGATCTGGCCGCAAACTCCCACTGGTTCGCGGGCTGTATAGGCAAATTTTTCAGGCGTAGTCTCGATTACCTGGCCGAATACCTTGTCTGCAAACCCGCTGTAGTACGTCAAGGTCTCAATAGCCTCGGTGAGATCCTCGTTGAGAGATACCGAGTATGGCTTGCCGTTGTCCCATGTCTCGATAGTTGCCAGTGTCTCGCGGTGTGCTTCCATCAATTCGGCAAGGCGCACCATGCATTTCCCGCGGTCCGAGGCAGGCAAGTCCCTCCAACTTGGGTGATGAAGGGCTTTCCGCGCAGCTTGGACTGCTCTATCGACATCATGAGCCGTCGCTGCGTACACTGAGATGATTTCCTTTTCGTTGCTGCGCAAGTTTATTAGCGACATGGCTTTAGGGCACCGTGAGGAGATGTGAGACCATACGTAGGATTGATGCTGACAATCTTACCGCCATCAGACGATTTTATCCACTGGTTGTTGATGAACAGCCCTGTAGGCTGGAGGTATGTTCGCCCATTTGGGGCGGTCAACTTCACAGAAGCCATTCTGTGGGAGTCGGGAAGTTCAATGCTCTTACGAAGTGCAAGAAGAAAGGGAAGTTTGCTAAGCTCTCTAAATGCAGTAAGTTCCGGTTCCCAGAACGATCACGTCTGATTAGGTACAGCTAGCGAGAAATGTTTCGAGAGACATTTAAGCCATCTGGGAAGGGCCAAAAGAGCTATCAATCACTGCCGTTGCTTGCCTTTATCTACTGACTAATGAGGCCATTGCCGAAACCCGTTGCCATTACCCACATTGCGGAGTCTTGTTTGTGAGAAATGCCCCGGCCCGGGACTGCTCTCTCCCACCGGGTGCCTCCAACGCAACGAACAAGCACTGTGCGGGAAACCAGCTACCAGCTTGCAAACTGCGACAAAACGAGGCTTAAAGCTGACCGATATCGCATATCTTTTTCAAGCCTATGGATGTGAGGGGAAACCACGTTTGGGATCACTGCGGAGAGTCTTCCCGACGGCTAGACGCGCTTGGAACGCGGTTGTTGGGTGATAGATATCTAATTCCCTGCCATAACACTACGGTAGGGCGCCATTGCACGCCAAATTAGGAAAGAAATTTGGCCAAGCTGCTTACCCCGGTGACACCACGTGCCAGGTACCAGCTCTAGCTCGCCGAAGGGCCGATGGCAAACCGGAACCAATGTGCCAGGGTGCTCCTTAGTCTCGCCGCACCGCTGGTATCAGATCAAGTTGATCAGATGGCTAAGAGCCAAGCTCAATCGGGAAAGAAACTAGGCCATGATCTAGACATTGACCAACCTCTATCAACGCTCGTAGAGATACAGTACCCCGTAGATGCCTTGTGCCTAAAGCTGACTTCGAACGCGTTCTGAGCGTCGGAATGGTTCAATGATAAGCGGCTAGCGGACCCCGTAGTAAGTTCATGTTTGGGGCTAATTATGATACCCCTTACTCGGGGTACAATGTCTCGACTCAAAGGAAAGCAATAAGCCCAAGTTGCGCGACTCCGCGAGGTGCTCACTTCACGGGTCA